ACTTCAAGAACTCAACTTGACTTCTGGGGCTGAAACCGCAGCTCAGGCGGCTCGCCACGGCGCGCAGGGCCTGGGGGTTATTGCAACACAGCTTGGCGATTTTAACCAGAGATTCTTCGTCCTGTAACGCCTCTCCTCCGACCGAGACCGTCCCAGAAAGCCCCTTAGCATGATTAAACATCTTCTTAAGAAGCTCCAAAGATTCGTGGACCTGCAGAGGCTCGAGTTTGACCTCCATGAAATTTCACACACTGGTCGGATATCGATAAGAGGTCGGTAAAGGTCTCAACAAAGGGATTTTTATGATGACGGATCAAAGATGTCATCAGCATTGTCCAACAGTAGTACTGTATCTACAGCGGGACAACAAAAACATGAAACATAAATAGAGAAAGCTCAGTAGAAGATTTACTGTCGGACCCTGATATGAAGAGCGCTGTTAGTACCATGCATCAGCTAAAATATAGCCTCTGAACATAAACGCAAAAACTTTGGGAATATCTTTGGGGAAAAAAGTCACAAAATTTGGAGTATTTTAAGAGTTTATTTCGTTAAAATAGGTATTTTTTTATGGGAATAACATTGTGAGGACCCGGTCTTCACTGCATGGTAATGACCTGGTTGGGGAATGGCCGCCGTTAATGGACCGACCCGAACCCTAAATAGTAATAAACATGTAATGTAGGCCTATGTATTTTCTACATGCGTAGCGCATGGAAACATTTGCCTGCGTGCCATTTCCTGTCAATTTACATTAAGCTCAAAATTAATGATGTTTCATCATGCATCCATCCGCCTTGTTACAACTGATAATGTAGTAACCAACTGATAAGGCAAAATAAAAAAAAACATGTTTAGCGTCCTGCCTCTTTGACAAAAAGGAAGGAGGAGGCCCTTTTTTTTTTTTTTCAAAATGGCCGCCCGACACATTTTTCAAGACAACGCGGCCGGGCTATTTTTCAAGATGGTTACCAGCTTTTTTCAAAATGGCCGCCACTTGGACTCAGGAAATGACATATTGGCTTCTTATGGGCAAGATGCAACAGAAAATGAGACCAAAATGATGTAACTATGCAGAACCGAACATCTCTTCTGCGCAATTGCACCATATTTAAAAAAAAAATAAAAAAAAATAAAAAAAGGAGGCGGCCTCTAAAAAGGAAGCGGGCGGGGACGCTAAACATGTTTTTTTTTTTACTTCGCCCAATGTATCACCAACCGATAATGTCACACTAATTGACCAATACTGTATCACTAACCGATAATGTAACAGAAATTGATCCATAGTGTAGTAAATGTTACTACATTATCGGTCAATTTCTGTTACATTATTGGTTAAGACCGATAATGCAACAACAATCGACTGAGTGTAGTACATTTTTACTACACTATCAGTCAATTTGTGTTACATTGTCGGTAAGTGATAGAGTATCGGTCAATTTGTGTGACACTATCGGTTGGTGATACATTATCAGTTGGTTATTACATTATCAGTTGTAACACGCTTCCCGGGAAAACGGACAAAATTAGGAAATGCACATACCTTTCTGTCACTGACTTCATTTCTTTCAGTTCTTGTTCTACACTAGCGCTAGCGCGTAGCTTCCGGGACGAACGGCCTGAATTGAAGTGCATTGCATAGTGCAATGCGTGTACTGCGTGTACGCTACGGGGAATGGCGCCCGTTTACTATGCTTTGTGACTATGGCAATTTTATATGCATCGTGAACCTTGGTCATAGTTCATATTTCTGTAAGAGACGTATAATGGGGAGATCATCAATAACCTTGTAAACAAATCCAAGTGCTTCTTTTATGAAATTGATTTCAGAAATGCTTTCCCATGAATATGGATTGAAAGTGAGATACGTACTGTGCTGTAATTTAGTAGTCATGGTGGGTTATCAAACTAATCCCTCAGAAACAACAATATTGAACCAGCTTATCTACAGGGCGAGTCAAAAAGAAAGTGACGAATTGGAAACAAATATTTTTTAAAAGAATATGTGGCTCGCTCCATAAAAATAACATGGGGATGCAGTACATGTTATTTAATAGTAACTGTGAACATTTCACGTAATTTGCTACTCTTTTCCCTAGTAATTATGTCTATTTTCATAAAAAGATCATAAAAAACTGGTGTCCACCACTGATCATTTTACCGTTCTATGACCTGATGAATACCCATCATAAAAATTAAACATATGGACGTTTTTCCACCTCCATTAATGAACGAAAACTTACGTTTTGCAAAAAAAAACAAAAACACTTGGAAACTGTGAGAAGATCTTTTTAAATGTGACACCCCCCCCCAAGATACAACATTTGCCAACATCAAAAACGAAATGATAAAATTATCGCAAAATACCTTACTAGTTTGTTAGGTAAATGATAGTCTAAAGCATCCTGTAAAATTGTAACTCCTGGTGTGCTGACATTTTCAAGAAAAATTGTATTTTTCCAACGCTGGTCGGCCGACCAGCGTTGGAGAAAACTGGCTTATTTTCAAAAACTGCTCCTTAGTTTTCATGTTTAGTTATTCCGCATACACGCCTGTGAAGGGGTACAAGCCTGCTAGACTGATTCTCTGACCTTACAATTTCCCAAAGTCAACAAGTTGCTCCGTTTCATCTTAATTGGGGTCAGGGAACAAGACTACAAGGACATGATTGGTATTCTTGGTTTTTCCAGCATCTACAAGCCCAAAACGTTAAACAAGTCAGTTTTGATAATATTTGCTACATTCTAATCCTCCAAATCCATTTATTTCTGACAAAAGTTGTACATTCCCTTGAATGTAATGATACTATCACTCAAATTAAAAAGATTGTGTATTTATCCCCTACAGATTAGTTGATCAGGCCATGAATCTACTTCACTGAATTTCCACTGTACATGTTCTTAGTGGGAGTTTCACCAAAAAGGTCTTTTGTTAATACCAGGGTGGCTTTTCAAATTCAAGGAACTATTGTGTACTGTTAGGTAAGAGCTGGGAGTCAGAAGGTTTTTCTCACCTTCCCTTGGTTAACAGTCACCCCAGATGTGTTTAACAATTAACCAGAATTAAAGATGAACCTGTGTTCGTGTCTTTTCTTTTGTTAGTTAGGTATGGTAGAAAACTCCCACTCTTATTATTTAAAGTTAATTTCAGCATGTTAATGTGAAATGTGGAAAGTAAACGTGATGTGTAAAGTAACTGTGTGCGAAATCAGCAAACCAGACGCTTCCGTTCAGAAAACATGTTAGAAAAAAAGTGAGCTCCGCCAAAAGTTCAACCTTATTGGCCAAAGACCCAAACCTAATGGCACCTTTGCCGCAGTTGACACAATATTAGGTGTCTAGAGTATGAGCAAACACATACAGAGCCTCAGTTAAAGCAGGATACTGAGAAGTTGCCCAAGCACAGAGGTTTGTTTGTCAAGATAGGCCGGGAAAGACACGAACACAGGTTCATCTTCAATTCTGGTTTATTGTTGAACACATCAGGTACGACTAGTAATTTCGGCCTCCATTCGGTTTGCAGATTTAGACGATGCCGTAGTTTTATCAAAAGTACTTTGCTTAATAAAACATAAACGCGCCATAATTTCAAAGCATTTTCTCGTCAAAGGAACGCAAGAGTCAACTGTGATATTTTATGAATATGCGTTAAATTAAGATCACCAATCAAAACAGAGAATTGGAAAACAAATATGAATATAGTAGACCAAATTAAACCATTTCAAAATGTCGTGTCCGTATACAATCGTAGGGTCAATTGAGCTGGCCCTATTCATATGCATACTTTATTCATCCGATACTTTGGGGTCTAATCCGGGTTCTATGCGTTTCAGTAGAGGTAGGAGTAGACACTTTAATGCGCAAGTGAAGTGTACTCCAGTTAACATGTAGAACACAGCAACATAGCTCCGTGTAGCATCAAAGATCCATCCTGTGAAGACAAGCAGCATTTACTGTATCAATCATTTGCATTTATCCCCCCAAAAAAACCTACCGAATCAATATTTTAAAAATCTTTCTTGGATTAAAGATCGTACTGGTACTAAATACATCGTGAAATTATTCCATCTGGCTTGCTGTCATTTAGAAGAAAGCAAGATATATGTTGGTGATTTCCACTGATCGGTCAAGTGTTTTGTGATCAAAAGGCTGTGCATGGTTTTCCATTGTGTTCTCAAAAGGTGTTGCATCCATCGAGTTGAAACGTCAACAGGTTATGTTTTTACTATTCGTCTTTGGGTTTCGAGTCGTGTTATCATTGGAAACAAATAAAATGCATGTAAAGCAAGTGATAATTTATGCCTTTAGTAAATGGTTTGGTTGCGGTATACCTGTATTAGATTCGAACCAGCCTTCGTATTGCGCATGCCTAAGTGAAGATTATTTGGACAATGACAGGTCACGTGTGAGGGTTAGAATTCAAAGACCCGATTTCATAGGAGTTATTTGTTTGCCTTTGCCCTCGGAAAATAATTCGGAAAAAAAAATCACAGAATTTCCTATTTAAACATAAATAAAGTACACACCATAAAGCCTTATTGTCATTACCTGCTATTACCGGCCCTATGAGGTAGCCGGTGCCAATGAAAACGTTCATCAACCCGACTCCTAGGGCAAAGTGCTGCACCCCAACAAAGCTGCGGCAGAGGACGATGGAAATGGCGAAGAAAGCCCCGGAGACGAAGCCGTAAATGAACGAAGCCACTGCCAGATAGGCATAGCCGTCTGCAGTAACCAGAAGGCACGCAATTCCTGTTAGGCCCGCACAAATGGCCGTCACGTGCTCCGCTGAGATTCTCCAGCCGATCATCGGTGCGTTTCCTAGGGAACCAATCAGGCTCCCTATGCCGAGGATGCTCATCAAGGATGCGGCACTAGAGGGCGCCACACCAATGGTCTGTGCACGCGGGATGAGGAACATTGGAAATGCCACAAAGCCACAGCAATACAACAACTGTATGGCACAGCTCAGGGAAAAACGGAAGCTTTTCCTCATGATATTCAGCCCGATTTCGTCCGACAATCCTTTAAGAAGTTTCACCACTCGTCCGGATCGGTTAGAATATTGTAGTGAAATATACTCAGTTTTATCGCCAGTACTCGTTTCGACATATCGTACCGGTACCGCGGTCGAAGTATCGGGTTCATCTGTAACTTCACCAGTTCTTCCATCGGTATAATCGTCATCATCAGAACCGTTGTCTTTTTCACCTGAGGGCTGCTGTCTCAGTTCCTCTTGTGAACTTGTTGTAGACTCGGTTGTGTTCAGTGCCAGGCCGAATTGACGAGGTCGGAAAAGCACGCCACAGAGTATGACGTTTGCCATGATTGCGGATGTGACTAAAAAAGCACCCCTCCACCCGTAGCTGTCCAGCAAAAGTTGGAAAAGCGGAGGGATAGCTATCATCCCCGTCCCGCGTCCCGCGTAGGTAACTGCGTTGGCCACATTGAATCTCTTTATGAAATAAAAGGTGATAATTACGCTTGCAGCGTTGACGAGAATGCCCATTCCAATACCTATAAGAAGAACCAAGAATTAAAGGAATTCGGTGTTGATTCTATGAATGATACATTATCTGACAAAGATACATAATTATTTCGGCTTTCACTTTTCTTTTCTCATAGGTTGGAATTCCATTACATCTACTACCGGCACTTTTTTTTTCCAAGCCCAAAACGCCGTCTTATTACAAATCGAAGCACATACATACATTATTGTCCTTTATTGTTCTACGTCTCCTGTTGAATACAGAAACAAACTGACACACACAAGTCATGTTTACGTTTATACTTAGTGTGGACATTCCTTTGTTTTGGGGTAGTTTGTAAGAAAAACCTGTGGAAAAGAAATCATTTTACTCACACTGTGAAAACTCTTTCAACCCAATTGATTTACTTGAGTGTTTCTCTTCATTTTGCGACAGATAAACCTAACCCCACAATGCCTCTAAACATGTTATCCGGCGAGGTGGAAACCTTGTTTGGACATGGGCAAGTCCGCACAACGTATCTGAAAACTGGTTTATGTGGACATCTTTAATTTGTTCGGAAGTCCACACAGTGAATGTAATGCTTGTATATACGGAGAACAGAGCACAACCATTGATACCGAAAAAATCAAGTTCAAGGCATAAAAGAGGATCATTTTGCGTTGATGCATTTTGTTCGTTACCAATAAAACACCACTCAAAGTCCAAAAGAGGAATGTTGAAAAACATAACCTGATAAAGTTTCAGCTCAGTGGATATTCCACTTTTCGAGTAAAACATTGAAGAAGAAAAAACATCCACAACCTTTAGATCTTGAAACTCGATTTTTGTGCAATGTAGCACTCTTTAATATAGTCAGGCAACTGATTTATGGAAATCTCCGACATTAATTCTCGATTTCCAGATCAATAATCCCACGTGGTGTTTAGTACAAGTGGGATCTTAGTTCCAAGTAATCTTATTGATAATATTCGGTAAGGTTATACTTTTGGGATAGATGCAAATGATTCTAGTATGCATTCAATAAGGGACACAGTATTAAACCGAGCCGTGAGTGAATTGATAATTATTACCTATTATGGCAGCAGTTGCGTAGAGCTGAACTATGTCGTTGACCCAATAGGTACAGAAGAGACCAAGCCACATCAAGAACCCTCCTAGTATACCCGTAAATCTACAACCGAAGCGGTTGCTTAGAACTCCTCCAATGAGAACTAAAATGAGAGAATGAGATAGCGTGTACCAATAGGAGACTCTTGTGATGCTTTATGGCGGCAAGCAAACAGTCTCTTGCATTTGCGCCATGTTTAAGTTCATCATGCATGTGCGCGCGCATGTCCAAAATGGCGCAAAGAATAGAAAATGACCGTTGTTTTTGCTGCCACCAAGCGTCCCAAAAGTCTCTCCTTTTATTGCCTTACACGGCTCAAAATTCGATACTTCGAATAATTCGATACTTGGAATAATTCGATACTTTGATTAATTCGATACTTCGATACGAAAAACGTACACATTGTAAACAAGGACAAGAAAACTGTAAATTCATGGGGTTTTTTTGACGTTTTGTCCGTAAATGTAAGACGTTTTGTAGTTTTCATGTGACCTGACCCTTGATATAAACTACGAGACGCTTGATACGAGAACTTGCTAAATGTGGTGTGTATCCTATACCTGGCACATTATACTGATCATTTTACTGACTGGTTAACACAACCAGGCTGATGCAGTCATGTTACGCCCAACCTGTGGCAGTGGTCCTCACTATAGTTGGAACAGTCCCATGTTGCTGGGCAGTCTCTGTGTCTCAACAATAGGTGGAGAATTCCTCAAAACAGTTCGTGTGTCCTGCTTGAATTGGCTGTACTGCCTCCCTTTACTTTGATTGCCCTAATTCTCCTGTAAGCTAATTAACGTAGCACTCAATTTGGTCAATCTGATGACAATCCACGCGCTAGCGCTAGCCGGTATCAGACTTTGGGTGCGTTCGTTTAGCTCACCCGGGTCGACACGGGTCAGCCCCGTGCCGTTCGTTTAGCTGTGACGTCATTCTCAAGGCTTACCCGGGTCAGCCACCACAGGCCCTGCTCGTGAGCAGAGTCACTGGTGGAAATACGCCACACGCATGCGTTGTTCATCCCTAGAAATGGACAAATATGGCGGTCGGGCAGCGGAAATGTCAAGTGGACCCAAAATCAACGTTATTTGAAGTCTAAAGGCGATTAATTATTAAGTTCATTGCGACATTACGGAGGCTCTAATTCCAGCCCAATTATTTTAAGTTATGGAACTGACTGAAAAGCAGTAAATCGCAAACGAAGACACAGCACGAAACATGCGTTTTGGCTATGGCTCCGGCTACAGGACATCACGGGAGGCTCGTGATGGCCCACGGTCGGTTTTAGCGTTCGATTAGCCCGGCTGTCGTGACTAACCCGTCTGCCTTTCCCAGAGTCGATCCGGGTGAGCTACTCAAACGCACCTGATATAAATGGACCCTACGTACTAGAATGCGCCCAATTAGGCTACAGAATGCGTTTTAAACGAAATGCTGTTTATTGGAAAGAACATTTAAAAGTAGAGTATAAACGTCCATACAACCATCCTTTAAAAAAATGGTACTTTAAGAAACATGCGAGAAGGAATTTCGGGGGTCAAAATGTTGACTCCTTGAAAATCGAGCTGTTGAGTGATAGTTGTGAATTCTGCCGCACAGTGCATCGCATTATGCGGACCTATACTATGTGTATTTGTGCTGTGTTTATAATGTGACACACAAAGTGTAGCGTATGGCCTTGAACATTGAATGGACACGGTTGGAAATACGTATGCGTAGGCCACAAAATGTCCGTGCGTCCGATGGTAAATTTAACAACCTGTTTTTCCGTCTGTTTTCGGGAACGGTTTCCTTTCAACCAGACCTTTGAAATAGGGTAAATAAACAATCCAAGACATAAAATGTGGGGGATTTTATGTCTGCGTTCATACCGGCTCAATGATGATTACCTGCGAACCCTGCTGGGGATGACATGAAACTTTGAATGGCCGCCGTCTCCTTGGCACTCAAGTCGAACTCATTCATCCAGGGAAGATACAGGATCCCACTGCACCGCAGGATACCAGACGATGCCATGCCGACGTGGGCAGCAATGACCACCACAATTCCCCATCCGCATTCGCTTTGCTTGGACACTCTCGTAACCTGACGCCTAGCTTGCAATGTAGATGCCGTCGCCATGATTTCACCTATTGTTTCGTAGACTGACCGAACATGTAATGTGACTTTAGAACAACTTTACAGGCGATGTACTCATCATGATTCTTGCTAAAACATTTCAAAGCAGATAGCTTCTGTCGAGATTTTTCTTTCCCCCATCAATGCATCTTCATGTAAAAGCAACACAATGCTTATTGAAACTGATATCAGGTATTGTTGTGAAAGCAAATAGATTACAAGATAGCCATCACCACATAGGTTACATTTTATAAGATATTGCATCACGCTATTGAATCTCGTTGCCCACAAATTCCCATATTGACCCAAGGGTCCAAAAAAGGATTAAACACGATTAGGTCATGTCTGTTAACAAAAACAGTTTATTGCCATTTTTGGGTTCCAGATAAGCACTGAAAAACACTGTGCCTATTTGTATCAAAAGGAGCCCAAAGAAGGATAACAAAGTGCAGTATAATTATAGGCCTATACATTGTATGAAAAAAGTACAAATTATTTACACATTTATTTGTCCTTCAGCAGAAGGCATTGGTACATGTTGGCTCATGGCGTCTGGCATGCTGTTCCACTTTGCTCCTGTTAAAGGTAGAGAGTATCATTTGCAGCTATCCAAAAAGTAACTGACGAAAATATTGTAGAAAAGCACACTTGGTTTAACCCTAAAAGGGCCGGGTTATTTTGACCATAGAGAAAGTTTTCTCTATGTTTTGACTATCTTTCAGCCGGTGGCGGGGGGGGGGGGGGGATTCCATCGAGTGACGAAAAACTATGAAACTCGGTTCATGCATAGAACTACTATTCATGAACATACCCAAGAAATTTCATGACTATAGGTCAATGGGTTTGGACATTATACCTAATTAATTATTCATATAAACGAATGGTAATTCTGCTCTGTGTACACTACGTATGATTTTTTTTTCGAATTTTGAGAAGTTTATGTTTTTGGAGAATTTTATGCTGTTTTGGTATCAAAAGATGCGCAAGGCTCGAGGCTAAAAAGTCAGTACAGCTCGGGTCGCGAAAAGAAAATTCAAGGATATCGCGGCAAAAAGTTGAAGGGGGGGGGGTCCGCCCCCGGTCCTTTCAGGGTTACAGATAGTAACGGCATTAAACTCATTGTGAAACTGTTCGTTCTGACATGCTGTCATTTTCAAGAAAACAGTAAAAGAATGTCGTTTCCAAAGATGCGTCTAAAGACCCATTTTTGTTGGAAATTTAATTTAGTACCAGTTCGTTTTTAAATCGGCGAAGCCGTGAACGGGTAAGCGCTAGTGTTGACACGACGCATATAATTCGTCGGTTCAGTGTGTGACATCGTGTAGCTGCAATCGGCTGAATGAGAACGTGTCCCGGACACTGATTTCGGGCGCAATTCAAACATGACTCGGCAACTTTTGAATTGGAATCGACATCCTAAAATCTTGTTTTCTTCGAATACTTAGCATTCACTGAGCTAAAACGTCTTCAGGTTAGTTGTTGAGCACCCTTCTTAGATTTTGCGCACTTTCGTTGCTTCAAACGAAAAAAATGCACAAAATGACAAATGACTCTATACCTTTATTCTAGAAAAAAAATACCGGTACTATTGTATGGTAAAACATGTATGCATTATGATACCCATGCTTGTCGGCAAACACACTCATTATGCAATGAATAGTCAAGGTTGATAAGATATGATAAACTAGACAATCCGGGAACGAACACTTCTATATCATGAATGACTGAAAGCATTGTGATTTGTGTAACCTGGGCACAATATTGGGGAAACTCGCACTTACTAAACACTCATGTGATTAAAGTCGAACCCTGATAAGAAGAGCACTGTTAATACAAGGTACTGCTTAATACAAGCACATTTTTAGGTCCCAAGTCTTTGTTTGTTTTTTTCCTTTGATTTCCGTTACTCCTGTTATAACAAGGTAATTCGTGAGGTCCAAGGACCTTGTTATAAAGGAGTTCGACTGTAAAACCTACCTAAAATAAACTCGGGATATTTAATGGGAAAAGTCACGAAGAACTGAAATAATTATTGACACAATAAACATGATTCTAGATTTCCAAAAAAAAAAAATAACAAAGACAATCTATTTACAGAAACGTCAATTAAGACTTAACAAATCTACATGAAGTTGCTATTAAGCAAAAATTAAAAAAAAACAGGGACTGGACTAAAGATATGATAGGCTAATATGCAAACTAAATGCATAATGAATGCAATAAACAACATATAGGAAGTGGATGAGACTACAAACATGTCTCTGCACTAAACTATGTGCACAGGTCATGCGAGCTAGAACAAGAACAACTCTTGAAAAACCATGGAGGAAAGAGCACAAAGCACATGGTCCAGAATTTTACAAAACTCTATACATACTAAAATATGCAAAGAAAACTCACCAATGACTCGATCTAAACAGACGAGACTCAAGCAGGATCGACACACCGCTCTAGTTAAAAGGATGGATGAGGGAATACAGTCCGACTCCCACTAAAACGAAATCCACGGGACCTTGTACGCCAGAGAGCAATGCTCAATTCTGCTTTGAAGGAGTTCATTAAGGATGAGACGAGTGTCCCTATTCACGTTTTTGCTGCCATCAAGTATAATCAGTGACACAATACGCATGCGTCACTGAGTTGGTAACGAAATGATCGACTGGTTCCCTTGCAATAGATAAGGAAAAAACAGGAAGATTTCCTCCTTATGTATGCAAAGTATTATGCAGGACTTGGACGATTACATAATGTAACTACAACCCCGGCCAAAATGGTTGGGACTGAGCCTGCCACGGTCACCCACTCCCCCGCTCCCGGTCAATGTTGTTCTCTCCGGCTGATGGAACACACACCGCGCAACGAGAGACAACAATGAACGGGGGCCGGGGGGTTGGGAGCCCAGCGAGATTCGGCCAGGATTGTCTGATTCCCTGCCCCTGAATACGATAATGCAATCGCAGAACGAGCCTATTGCAAAATGACAACAAGGCTACCACCAGGGTGAACCTAAACAGGCCACAATAATCCTTCCTCAAAGCTCGCGAATTTAAGTTATACGCTATCATGATTTTATAATTAGAGAGTTCTGAGAGCCATGGAATTGGGCTAGGGGTAGTCTTCTTTGGGTGAGAATTTCTCAAAAAAGCAATGGTCAACCCACCAAAAATTGAAAAGAAAATCAAAGATGACAGGTTGATCATCATTTTCCTGTGCAGCCTGAATACCTGTGAGAGTTCTGAGCATTTTAAAAGAATTTCGAAGTATGCGGCCATTTATCACTGGTGTCTATGGGAATTATACTGGGATGCACCCACCAATGGGCAGATAGGGTGAGTGTCTCTTGCAACTATCAATAAAGAGTGGGGCACTGCTTTGCAGTATTTGAAACCTATGCAGTTAAAATGCTAGACAAAAAAAATGCCTTCATGCAGATCAGACACTAGGCGATTTCGCCTACTGATCAGTTAAAAATCGGTTTTTGATAGCCATGTGTTCAACTGATGAGGCGATTTCCCCTTATTTCATTCGCGTCGGTTTTGCGTTTAACATAAAGCATGCTTTTGGAAGAAAACTACAAAATTGCCAATTATCGAAATCGCACTGTCTCCCGTTATCTTTCTTGGAGTTGACACCCCTTCCAATGTATGGTATCGCCTTCGCTGCATGAAATAACTTTTTTTGAAATCTTTTCTGTTCGGAAGTTAATTGATTTTAACCAGAAATAGGCTCTTTTGAACTGATGATTTTTTTGGTGTGAGTTTTCGGCTGCTCTTTATATATTCAAGAATATAATGATAATAATAAGCATAGTATCGGCATTTAAGAACGCTCATATTAGTAAACTAAATTACAGCACTTACAGTATTATTATTACCCCCTAATCATTGGGCCAATTAAATATTCCAAATACCGTCTCAGCTCCCTGGGGAGTATACAGCTCGATGCTGCCTGTTAGGCGCAAGGAAGCTAATTCAATCACAATAACCATCTCTGCCCTCACAGGTACCCATTCACTCCTGGGTGGGGAGAAGCAATGAGTGACAAATTGCCTTGCCCAAGGGCACACGCACTATAACCCCAGGCAGGACTCGATCCCACAACCCGCAGAATTACTTGCAAACCAGTGCCCTTACCACGAGGCTATGGCACTCCGCAAATAATTAACAAATTTGCAAAACAATCAAAGGGAACTACCTAAGAAAGCCAAATGCAAAATACAGAGAAAATGAACACAGTGATTCTTATTATTAACACTTTATTCATTAATTCAGAAACAATGCGACTTGTCTTGTTTCTATCTTCTACAAAGATAAAATGCAGCTATTGACAGAAAGCGCATCAACTTTCGCCAACCAAGATAGAATAAAATCACCAATTTTCGAACTGTAAATGTTATAAACACACTGCGAAATGCAAATCACTCGATTTTAATTCATGTTAATTCCAAATGGTGAAGCTCACATATACTGCTGACTGAATACAAGACTTAAAAACTAAACTAAGCTTATAACTCAAACTTAACTAAGCTTATAACTCAAAAACACAATAGGACGAATTAATGTGTAGGCTTTTTCATAAATACGTAAGACAGTTTACCCATTCCTATTGGTCGAGAGCCTGTCACGTAGGTTTTAAACGGTTGACAAAGTACCGACTGGTTTTAAACTTTTTTCTGTGTCATGTGATATTTGGTTTCCTATGAAATCTGGTCTTTTTCCCCTTTCATTGGTTGAACCCCCCACGTGACTCTCCAAATAGACCTGATTCACGAGGAAGCCATTTTCGACCGTGTTCCCAGAATCTATTTTAGTGTAGACAATGCTTAATAGAATGGTGCCAGACTATTTTATTATTGGAGTGCGTGCCAAGCCTTACTTTAATTTTGGTGTTTTTAAATGTGGCTCAAAACATTTGTCGCCTGTAATCAATATGTTTTATTATTCATCAGTGCAGACTGGTGTTAATTCGTAATGATCTTTTAATTTTATTTCATTGCTTTCATTTCCACTCGCAAGATCCGAAAATAAAACGTTTACCTGGCTTTCAATTATTTTAATATGGCTGACTCGTGAATAAGTATCTTCCAGAAGGCATGCGTAAAACTGCAGATAACATTATCCGCGTCCAGGCCCCTGTTGTTTAAAACCGACCAAGTCCATATTTATTCCCTAAAGAATTTATATCGAAATATATGGTTCTCTTGTTTTACCGTAGCGATTGTATCTACGGCAACAGCTGACTGCTGTGATGTGGGATATATCGTTGTTATCCCCTCCAGGCAAAAAAAAAAACCCACTTCGCCTTGGGTGTTATGCGTCCGGTGTTACAAACGTGTGTGTTACATGCCTTCGGTACTGCAATATCAGTGGTCTAGATCGACCACGTGTCCAGTCTACAAGAATGATTGTTATACCTCTGTCTTGAATACTGCATTTTTATTGGCCTAGAACGATCACGTGTCAAGTCATGGCACACTGATCCCTACAGGGAGTGTGCTATGACTTTGTACGTACGGTGCGTACGGTGTGAAACGCTTGTATCATTGGTACCCATGCTATTTTCACCACGTTTTCACAGATCAGTGGGAGCAGCGAAGTAGCAGACGATCAGCTGTTTCGAGCACATGACATGTGCTGTATGTGAGTTGACGTTCGATTGTCATGATTGTTGTGTTTACTGCTGTTTGTTTTCGTTATTTTCACATCAAAATCCAAAGAATCCAAGACAGAGGTATAACCCTCTGCTTCGCCTCGGGTGCTATTCGCCCCTTGGGTGTTCAAAACGTCATATCCCACATCACAGCAGTCAACAATTGTTTACTATTTGCATCATATACACTGCGTTGCTATACATCATATACACTGCGTTGAATATAAATTACCTATGCGTTGCGCGCGCGTGTGACTGACCCACGCGTCTAGCGACTGAGAACTGCAACCGCTCAGTCTCTGGAAGGAAAGCTCACGGATTTCAAAAGGTCAAAATGATACACCACATTGATTTCATATATCCTGCATAGTAAGAGTTTTTTTACTTATTGTCACGATGTAACATAAACAATTATTGACTGCTGTGATGTGGCGTATAGCACCCTCAGCTTCGCCTCTGGTGCTTTGCGCCCCTCGGATGAATGTCATTTCCCACATCACAGCAGTCCCATATCACAGCAGTCACTTGTTTTATATTACGAACTCTTTATTATTTAATTGGTGATATTAATGAAAGTTTTGCTTATGCGTATACCAGTGTTTTACACTATCAGTTTTAAATAATATACTATCTAAACGAAAGACAAAGTGGCAAAATAAAAAGCAAGTTTTGGACAGGAAATGTACATTCAGGAGAAAAAACTTAAATTGTTAAAATACAACTTTTAAGCACTTATCTATAAAACACACTAAATCTTGATTATAGTTTTAAGATGATTTAAATTTGGAAATATTTACTTGATTATTTCATTACTATCATTTTGAAGCTATTTTCTACTCGGAAGCATGGAATTCATTTTTTGGTGGGGGATTAATTCTTTTGCAGAAAAGAAGTCAAAATTTAGGCATAACGCTCCACCATTAACATTTCCTTGATCAAATGATAAATCGGTCCGAGTAAACTGGTATTGGAATTCTCACAAACTATTCTTGAATATTACAGTATGCGCTTAAGTGAGAATCGATATATTTTCAAGATGGCTGCCAGGGTGACACACATTGTGACACACTGAGAGAAACTGTATATTATGAAATCCCGTTTAATAGCTGCAGACCTTGTGTTGATTCCGTCTTTATGACATGCTACACTTGGAGCGCTTGCTAGGATTTTCGTCTGGGAACACGGGACCTAGAATTCGAGAAGGGAAAAAAGGACAAAATTACCAAAATGAATCTGCAATTAACGTAAAGGAGCTTGGGTGGAACATTTCTCAGAACTAAAAAGACCTCCGGCAAACTACATTTTACTAAAAGAACTTGAGCTGGCGCGGCCAATATGATCTTATTATGCATTTTTCATGAACGAATTAGAAGAAAAAGAATTCGTGATAATGACGTTTTAGAAATGAGTTCGGCACCGGCCAAATATATATTGAAAAAAAAGGATTTTGGGTGCATTTTACTATTTTGATTCCTGCCACTGCCAGGTTCCCATGTGTTTGTGAATGGGGCTTGAGTCGTTCTACACTGATTTGCGAAATGCATTTTTAAACTTCTAAAACCGAAATTTCCGTTAACGATACATTTCGAAACTGAGTAGGGCACATACCCTACCTATAATTGACAGACTTACTAAAATAAGTCAAAGATAATTACGTTGGGCTTGCAATTAAGAAGAAGGGTTTCATTCCAAAGAAATGTCCGCATCAAATTCTTGACTAGACTTCGGACACACAGCAGTCAATCCATAATCTTCTTGCATTCTGAATGATCACCCGACAAATTAACTTTTTTTCCATGATGTTGAGCATTCTCTGTTTAGTACGTTAAGAACCGATGAGGACTCTGACATTTCAATTAAGAAGCACATTTTGATGGCAGAGTGTTTATTGGGACTCCAACTATCTCCAAAACAAATAAACCAAAATCAACCTGTGGGAAATATGTTAATAAATTTGTTTTAAAGGGCTGCACAAGATACACAGATAGGCATGTATTTTCGACACATAAACGAAAAACAAACGCTTTAATAAATAAGCAGGGGTCATTGCAAGCTTTCAACTTTAAATAATATAAAACTGACTTGTCTTTGTTTTTGTTTTAGATTTGGACCTGCCTTCTTACCTGGTGCCCGTTGTCTGCTTGGTCCCGCCATCTCGTCATCATCGCTGGTCCCCGTGTGCCCGTCCTCGGCGTCCATTCTGTCTGGAGACCGTTTTCTTGACGGAGAGGCCTGTCCCGATACGGACCTCAAGTCCATGCTCAAATCTCCTAAGTCTGGAGTTCCCTTGTCCGCCGCCTAATGAGAAGGTAAAGTGATACGTCATTTAATTCATTTAACCCTCCTTTGCAAACAAACATTCTGTGCCAAGTAGTCTTCGCAATTCCAATAAGTGACATTTTCATCAGTTTAGAATTCCCAGCCCACATGAAGCAGGATTGATAGAGTAAAGCAAAGTACCTTGATACAGCTATGCTTTGACTGGGGTTGATTGATAAAACAGCTGTGAACACAACTTGCATGCTTTGCCTGCTGACCCAGTTTGAGTAGTCATAGTGCTTGCTTAACATAACGATCCGACTGTTAGTGACAAGCCTTTGTTAAAATAGCAGGGGAATCCGGAAGTGAATTTTGACTGTCTTTGACTGCTAAATAGCAGGAGATTTAATATATCTACAATTAGTCAGGTGGCTTAGATCTAATTTTCGTCAAGATCGTGACCGACTGGTCCAAAGCACCAAACTTGGCAGATAAATTCTTATAGACCTAGAGAAAATATTTAGAAGGGGTGACACCCGAAATTCTTTTGGGAAGGGTGCCTAATTTGCATAAATCGTTAATCCCTGCCGTGTAATATATTTATTCCAATATTTCGGTATATTTCGGTATATTTTTATTTTTTTTGAAAAGTGTACTTTGGGTATTCTACTTACATATCTTTACTTAAATAACATTTTCCAAAGCATATAAGTGACTGAATAATTATGACGACATAGTAACGATCCAAAATGGCTACTATTATACCCTAAATTGCTCGCATTTACCTTGTCCCCAGATATCATCAATTAGTCTTGCCAAACATCAGCATTGATGAACTTCAAATTCACCACGTAGCTTACTGGTACAGTTACCCTACTGAAACCTTATGCAAAATCATGTGAACAATGAGAACATTGTGATATTTAGCCCAGAAAACAAAAACTGGGGAAAAAACGAGGTGTCCATAAATTGGGCTAACAAGTAAGGTGAAGGGTAGCCTAACATGGAAGACTGGAACAAGTTCAAGGAAATTCCCAAAATTATTGTTGAGAAAACGTTTTGGCGTAGACAAAATTATTGTAAACAACAATAATCTCTTATTTGGGGGAATTTTGTTGAACTTGTTCAAGTCCCCACGTTACCCTTCCCGTAGTAGCCCAATTTACGGACACCACATTTTCTCCCCTTTTTTGGTCTTTTGGGCTTAACATCAAGATGATATCAATTTTCACATGATTTCCCACTTAGTTTTGTTAGAGTGGAACTATGTCATTAAGTATCTTTGTGAATTTCAAGCTCATCAATACCCACGTTTGGCGAGACTAGTTGATGACATCTGAGGAAAAGGTAAATGTGCGTAACTTTAGGGTAAAATAGTAGCCATTTTGGTGATTTACTATGTCCTCGTAATTATTCAGTCACTTACATGCTTTACAAAATGTTATTGAAGTAAGAATATGCAAGTAGAATCACCAAAATGCACTTTTCAAAAAAAATAAAAAATAAAAATATACCCAAATATGGGGGGAAAAATATTACACGGCAGGGATTAACGATTTATGCAAATTAGGCACCCTTCCCAAAAGAATTTCAGGTGTCACTCCTTCTAAATATTTTCTCTAGGTCTATAAGAATCTATCTGCCCCGTTTGGTGCTTTGGACCAGTCGGTCACGATTCCGACCATATGCCACCTGACTAAACCACCATCATCCGACGGTAAACGTCACATGTCCATGCCACAAATGCACATACCTTGAACATCCTCCGATACTTATCCAACTCTTTGTTCATGTGCAGTTTCCTTAGCACGTCCTGCAGATCTGTCTTCAAGTCGTCGTACTCGATGCTGTGGTTCGACGGCCCGAGTTTGACCTCCATCTCGAAGGCCCTGTTGTAGTATTCCAGGGCTAGTTTGTAGTTCTCTGGCGGTTTGGTTCTATCTAGGTTGTGTGAGACGAAGATGAAATTAGGTTGAAAACAGTGTGCTCGTGTGCATCCGTTCGTACAACAGTTCAAATAAGATTTGAAGGTTCAGCCTGCGAAAATTTGTAGCAGAACAAACACTCAAACAAAGAGGCAATCATAAAAAAAAAGAGTATGTTTTGGTTCCCCCAGTTTGACGGTTTACCGAAAAACTATTATGATATTCAGATCAGTAGATTTGTTGATTTTACATTGAATTACCTATTTCATCTTTGCCTGAATCAAGCAAATCGTCCGATGACTTGAAGTTAGTACACGTCCACTTAATTTACATATTAAAGTTTGATTGACATGGAAGCGAAAAAAAACCTTATATTTCACATGCATGGTTTTGTTTAGCGTCGCAAAAGATTTTCGACGTTAAGGTAAACATTCGTCCTCATGATGGACCTTCCACCTCTAACGGTAAAGTATGTGCCCTTTCAGACGGGATTTCAAACCAAATCAGTTTCATTGCTCCCATTAAAAATTACCTTCAGGTTTCTTTGATTTCTTGCATTCGTCCCCTAAACTGTCGTACAAGGATCCAATGAAGAACAGGTTGCGAGCCGTGGTAGGATGCACGCCTATGGTCTCCTCTCTGATGTTGACGGCATCTGTTGCCAACGGTAGAGCTTTCTCGTATTCCTTTTTAAAATGGTGGTGAAAAAAAACCACTTTAATAATTGAGTCAATTTGAGTATTCGTTTAGATTTGTTTTAAACTTCATGCAAATGATAGAAAGAAGGGTAGGTCTCGGCTGCTTAAAAAACCCTTGTTTTTGGAAGTCTTGCCGACGTGAATTACCGAAATGCAACGTTAAAAGCATGCGCTTGATCTTGAAACACCACTTCATGCATATTTAGATTTGTACGTTACCATTATATTTGATAGCGACAAAAACACTCTGATCCGTTTTCTGATACTGTTAGTGCCTATAACATCAAACGTTTAAGTACACGTTCTAATTAAATTGATCAATAAATTTGTGAAGTATGCCTATTGTCTTGTAATAGAACACCCACCTCCATTTCACAATAGCTCATGGCCATGTTCTTGAGGACGAACGCAGTGTTTGGGGAGTTGGACAGTTTTAAGGCTCTCTCCAGATCGTATGCCTCGTGGTAGTTCTTGATGGCAAGGTTAAAGTACTCGTCAGCGTTCTTCTTGTTGCTACGTTTAAATTTCTTTCCCATCTGATGAAAAGTGGCGCCGATATTAAGCAAGTACATGGGTGCATCGAAGTGCTTCTCTGGTTTGCCGTTGGTGATTTTAACCAGCATCTCCCAGGCTTTCAGATGGTACTCGTGGGCTTCTGTCGCGCCGATACAGAGGCGGTCATCATCTGCCTTGTTGAAGTAAGCGTGACCCAGCCCGTTCAGGCAGCGAGCCGTGAGCGAGTGATTCCCAAGGAGACGCTCTTGAATTTTCAAGGCTTGCTCAAGGATAGCAATACCGTCTTTGTACTTGCGCCGAGCCACCAGGATGCGGCCCTTCACGTATAGCAGCTGAGCTTCAGCTCTTTCCAGGTCATTTGTTCGGCCGATGGCGGGATCGCTGGCTCGGGCTTTCAACACTTTAAGCGGTTCTTCGACCGCATTCCAGGCTTCATCGTATTTTGCTCTCACGTAGAGCTCATCAGCCATCCATCCTCGCAAGTAAGCCCAGGCTTCTTGTTCCCCTCTGCTCAACATTCTGATACTCATATTTGTGTAATATTCTAACCTCTTAGAGGGATCAAGAAAAGTCTCGAAAATGCTGAACAATCCCTCCGTCTTCGGGAGTGGGACGTCAGAGGCGGGGTTCTCCTGTTCGGCAATAACTTCACAACCGAACTTGTTACCCATCCCGAGCTCCAAATAGTGCAAGACATTGGTCTTGTCGGATTCAAATCTGGCCAGTGCGCTGGCGAAATCTCTGTGACCCAACTGCGTTAGATCTTTAAGAAGGTCTGCTATGTAGGCTAAGAATCGACGGAGTGCATCTTCATATGCTGCCTTGTGTATCTCACTGGATCCTATTTTGCTCAGGCAAACTGACCGCACCAGCGGGTGCATGAAGTAGTAAGGCTCTTCGTCGCTTAGTCCAGTGTCAAGGATGGAATCATCATCCCGTTCGAGAAGACTCCATTTTTTCAAGTCCTCCAAGTCGAACTTAATAACTGCGTCCGATGGCTTCTTTCCTACGACCTTAGCCCCTTGACTCAGACTGAAGGAACTTGGGAAGACCGAGAGTTTCAGCAAGGATTCCTTCAGATTTAGAGGGAGCTGCTCGTACATGGCGCCCAGCGAATTAAGTACCAGTGGCTGATCCTCGAAATCCTTCCTCTCGTCTTGAACGGCTTGACTAGATCCCAAGGAGCCGGGATCCAACACCCGTTGAGCACCTTCTGGACACTTCAAGTACTCAACCAGACTTCTGGGGCTGAACCCGCTGCTCAGGCGGCTCGCCACGGCGCGCAGGGCCTGAGGGTTATTGCCACACAGCTTGGCGATTTCAACCAGAGATTCTTCGTCCTGTAACGCCTCTCCTCCGACCGAGACCATTCCAGAAAGCCCCTTAGCATGGTTAAACATCTTCGTAAGAAGCTGCAAGGATTTGCGGACCGGCAGAGGCTCCAGTTTGACCTCTTTGAAATTTGGGAGCTCTTTAAGACCCATGAAATCAACAGGATGGCGAGAGGTTAGGAGGAACTTCACGTGACAGTTGGTTATCGATAAGAGGTCGCTCAGGGTGTTCACAAAGTGATCCTTACTATACGATGATGGGTTGAGGATGTCATCAGCATTGTCCAACAGTAGAACGGTATCTAGAGCGAGACAGCAAAAACATTAAACATTGAGCAAAAAGATCAGGAAAAAAGTAGATATGGCCGGCATGTCTATATTGTTCTTGTTGCGCTCGCTTCAGTGTTAACAAACCTTGTAAGCAGTTCATGATCCACTTCTTGACCAGTTCCATATCAAACTGTTTCTGGGTGATCTGCTTGCCAGTTACGGTGTTCAGAATCCAAAGCCCAACTTCCTCCATGTTGGTCGCCTTACGGAGATTGACGCGGAGTAGTCTATGAATTAAACACACGGACATTAAAATATCAACTGAGATGTTTCGGCTAGGTAAAGGTATATTACATCTTTGCGATGGGAAACGGCTTCCTGTACAGGCTTTTGTTTCGAAAACAATTTGCGACACTTTGTCAACAGACTTACTAAAGCGAGTATGATTGTGAAGGGAAATGATACACCATGTGCTTTGAACAAGAGCTCCCCGGAACAAACTATGAGAGCAATACTGGCGAGTTTGCCATTTCGTTAAACTTATCAGATATAACATGCATTATTTTATCTAAATATGACTCGGAAGGCCATTCACTGTCAATTGCCCTCCTTCCCCCCATCTCCACTTTACTGACACACTACGACCACAACATTCACTACATTTGCGGATTCAGAGTGCAAAGTGCCGGTCTGTGCCTTTGGGGCTGGCTGCAACGACAGTTCTATTAGCCGGGGGGGGGGGGGGGACGCCTCTCCGCATCCCCGATCTACCCATCTACCCCGATCGACTGACCTGGTGCCGCACCCTGCCTGCTCTTTGTAAATCGCGCTGCTCTCCACGGCCAGTTTAGTCTTGCCCGTGCCTGCCAGCCCGTACACCAGAACGCAGCGGCACTTGTCATGGCCCTGATTGCCAAAGACCTCTAGGATCCTGCTGACGAATGTGGTCCGTCCCACAAAAAAGGGATCCCGCTTCCCAAGTAAGATCTCCACATTCTGGATATGTGTTCGCCTCTTTTCTTCGTACTCCTTAACCTGTAAAGTAACCGAGAAAGGTAAGTAGAAATATTCCCCCGCACGAAGAGCGTACGTGGAGCCACGCATTTGAAGGTTGGCGGTTCGAATCCCATTCGACCACAAACTGGAAGACTCTCTCTCACGACCCAACAGTAAAAAGAAAATGGGTACCTGATTCGTTTAGAAAAGGTAAGACGGCGAGAGGAGAAGACTAGGTAGCCGCATGCATTGAAGCAGTAAATCTCTTACATCACATTATCCCTATACGGCCAGCAATGGAATACAGTTACTTTTTTACACATTTTATAAAGGCGCCAAACCTGAAAGTGATTTCGATTTATCATTATATTTAACTAGTGACAAGGTTCGTGGAAACCGGGTTGCAGTGTCAACGGACAAGATTTTAATTCTTCACTGATGTGGACAATTCATGCGTGCGGTCTCTCCTAGTGTGCACAGAATAAACTTATAAAAAATTCACTCAGTTAACTGAAGTGTCCATATCCACACCCAGAAACAATGCAGCAGAAGCCATCACAGCGACACAATCATGGGCTGGTGCAAACAGTTTAGCTCAAGATCATATCAATATTTGCAAATTATAAACTGGAAAAAAAATAAACCATTCTTACAAAATCAATCCCGGCGGAGATATCCGATTTTTCCAACAGCTCCTTCAGAAACTGCGTCTTGTCCTCTCCAATTAAATCGTGCTTCTCAAGAACCCTGAAACAAAAACAAAAATGACGGAGTATATGAATCAAAATTGAAACAATCGAAATGAAAGAATGTTAACATAGTTCTGCATTATGAGGTGGGAGTCCGTGACAAGGTGTATATTAATACGCGATAAGCGGCTTGAACTTAACGGAACGTGAAGTATACATACGCGAACAAAAACAACTTTGCACCGTTAGTCACCGCAAATATACTTTCGCACAGTGTTCGAGACTCAAGTGTTATTAGTCTTCGACTTGAGTCGAGTCAAGTCTTCTGATGAGGGACTCGAGTCGGGCAGTGACTCTAGTCGAATCAGTTACCAGTTGGGACTCGAGGGACTCGAGTCGAGTCGTCAAATATTGTGACTCAGTCGGACTCTATCACCTCTATCACCAACAATGTTTCAGTTTCCAAAAATCCACAATATTCAGTTATAAAACCCAACAGATGTTATACGTTTGCGTATAGGACCATGTAGTCAAATCTCATCTGAGATTTTGTGCACGTGGTTCTGTAAAGAACCGGTTTGATTACTCAACGTTTCTGACAGTATCCGGCCCGTCTTCATGAGATATTGGATGGATGCAGCTGCTAGTTGCAAACTCACCTCAAAAATTCCACCGCGTCATCGGTCTCCAGTTCCCCGGCGGGTACCCCTTGATGGCTACACAAGAGACGGGCATGCGTGAGTTCGTGCTCTGTCAGCTCCTTGGCTAGCATGCTGAGGAGCTCGGAGAATAGATTGATGGTCCGCTGGTCCGTGATGTCCAGTGGCTGCTCGCCCACGGCCGCTGCACCAGTCATCTGGACTGTGGTTGCATCTGATGATGAGCCGGCCATTTTGCTCTCTCGTGAAACCCCGGTGATCGTGGTATGATTTTATGGGTTGTATATTCTGGGGAAGGAAGGTAAAGAACCAAGTCTTTCAAATAAATAAAAGTACGTAAATTGTTCCTACTGCTGTGCGGTGATATCTTGCGTATTCAACTTTTTCGTCTACCAGGTGATGGCAAGTCCCTGGCGATTCCATTTTGGAGAGACATGCTATCACAACAACATGTGCACAGACTCGCAGGAGGTAACAGCTTTTATTGCTAGCTTGTCATCAGAAACTGAAGCCGAATTTAAAGTGAAGAATGAACTGCCTCAGTATGATAAGTGGCCCAATGGAAGGTGTTTGCGCCCGTCGCGGGATAACGTTGTATGGACATTTTTCATTGTTGGGCAAGTTTGGGAAACGGTTGCCCCGTACTCTCTCCCTTGGCACTCACGGTGCGCAGTTGAGACTCAATCAACCTATCCATATTTTGTGTTCGTGATCATGAAACTGTTGTCATGGGTTGATGTTTTGAAATAGAGTCACTGGTTACCTTAACGCTTCAGAGTTGTTCAGTTTGACTTATTCGGATCATAAAATTACCAATCTCGGGGAGGGGGAGGGGTTACATGACTGACCGTTGTGGTCCCCTATGGCAGGTTTGTAGTCACGCTCTATGTACTTTCTGGCGACGATTGTGTGATGAAATGAAGAAAACAAAGTGTGTTCAAAATCAGTAGGCCTCTAAAGCTATTTAGATTAAATCAAAAAGATTTGTTCAACTGAAACATGTCAACACACCCTATGGCAGGTTTGAAGTCACGCTCTTTGTACTTTCTGGCGACGATTGTGTCAGTAGGCCCCTAGAGCTATTTAGATCAAATCAAAAAGATTTGTTCAACTGAAACATGTCAACACCTATCTTTATCAGTGCGCAACTTTGACGGCATGCAAAAAAAAATATGGCTGATTGTTTTCATATAATATCATCGCCACGTGCTTTATTCTATGGGTCACACTATTAAGATTATAAGGCAGATCTAATTTGCATTCTGTGCAGGCTCATCACGCATCGTGAGGTCTGACCGCTGCATAATGTATGCATGTCGAAACTGAAATAAGACAAATAGCCCCGTGCATGTGGAAGACGTGGTGTTGTCACTTCCTCATTAATTACTGCCACTTGATGAGTGGTGATTTGAATGCATTATGTCCAGCTAGCACTTATAATAGTGAACGAATTCGATAATGACTACATTATCATGTATAGCATAGGGCAACATCGTGTGATAGTGGGGCAGATAAGGGAAATATTTGGGGGAGTTGTGCCTTTAATGATACAAGCATGACATTTGGAACACAGGCAGAGTATGTCTTAAGAAAGATATTTGGCTGTAGGGCCATCGCGGATTTGTCCTTCGAAAAAATAAAGGTAGAAAAACAAGCCATTTTAAAAAATTTCAAAATGGCTGCCACTGCTTGTTTTTCTACCTACATTTTATTTTCGAAAGGACAACTCTGCGATCGCCCTACATCCAAATATACTTCTCATGAGACTCATAACATACTCTGTGTGCCAAATACCATGCTTGTATCATCGAAGGCACAATCCCATCACCTATCTGCCGTACTGTGAGTGTTTAACCTGTGACTGATGCTGCAATATTTTTTGCTAACGCATTTCTATTTGAGATAATTGGAATAGTATAATACACACATAATGTCCGTAACTATACACGAGATAAGCTCACGTACAAATGTAATGTCACGATGGTTGAGATTGAATATATCACTCTTCGTACCCACATATTTTAGTCTTCTATTATAATCATGTGATAGAAATAGATATTAAAAAATGGGTCTACACAATAATGATATGCAAATAATATCCACAGTTTATTGTATCAAATATACTGTACATGGGATAGGCTCACGTAGAGATTTAATGTCACGATGGTTGCGATGGAGTATTATTTAGTCTTCATAGCACACTCATATTGTATTCTTATATTAATATATTAACTTTATTGATAAATATAGATATATCATGCTACATCGAAATGCATTGCAGGCCTACATAGCATGCATGGCGAAGACCTATCCGAATGCACGTCCAATTAATATCTTGGCATAAGTGTCTGTTTTACGTAAATGGTTTTAAAACATCGATCACCTTGTTTACGGATTCTATTGCTTATAAAAGCCGTCATTACATTACTGCATAATAAGCATGTTATGTGTTCTCTATGACATGAAGACATGAAGCATAATGTCTGTGCCAGACTCAGTGTAAACAAACGTTCAGCAGTTTCCTGCCAACACTCTCCATCAGCTGAGCATTAATTTTGATAGGCCATGCCTTCCATCCGCTTCCCTGGATTACGGGCAATTTAAGGAAATGCACATACCTTACTGTCACCGGCTCAAAATGGCTAATTTGGCGTCATTCTCTTCTCAGCTCATCATCTGCAAACCGCTCGTAGCTTCCGGGAGTGGCCTGATGGAGCGCATTGTCTAGCGCATGGTGTACACAGTATAAAGTGCGTACGTTTATGAGCAATGGCGGGGAATGGCGGCTGTTTGCTTTATGATAATGGCCTTTTATAATGCATGGTGAACTCGACCTTGGTCATAGTTCATTTTTCTGCAATAGACGGCACGGTGATCAGACCGTGATATTCACGTGCATAGTTTTACAAATCGGTAGACTAATATCCAACTGTAATCGCGTGAGTTATTTGGCTTTCACTAAGAACATTGGTTATTGGTTTTTGCCACAAAATCACATATTATCATGGCGCAAAAAAATCAGTGAAATCTAAATAATAATTGTTAGCAAAATAGCAAACGTGAAATAGAACAAATTTTTAAATAGGTGAATCTTAACTGGTTTTTTTCAGTAGATCGTCTTTCTTGCAGTAATTCAGTTTAAAGGCGCGTGTAAACATTCGTAATTATTACCCAGAAACCTTAGAAAACGTGCTCGAAGTGAAGAAAGGACGGGGTCACATCTGAAATTATTTCACCTGAAAGTGTATCGTTCTGAAGAAAACAATCGCTGAACTGTTGGTCTTAAAAAGTCTGCTGCGCATGTGGGCACATTTCTTTTTTAAACTAAACAATATTCGTTAAATATTGCGGGCCATTATACCTGTATGGGACATCGACGTCACGTACACTTCTTGCTGATTGACAATATCATGACCTAAATAAGTTATAAATTGTACACGAGAGTGTGAAAATACAATATGAAACGGCTACTTACGAATCGGACGGAAGCGCTATAGCAATTACGGAATCTGCTGACGAAACCAAAAAATTTTCAAATAATGTTGGGCCAAAAAAAGTCTCCGGATTCTGGTATGGAGCCTGCCCAAAAAGTGATGCGACGACGCAGCTTTTTTTTACCGTTTTTTTCCTTCAAACGTCGGCTGATAACTGCAAATGTTGCCCGACTAAACTTAGTGCAAATATATGGGAGTCCAGAGAGGCAGTAAAGCTTATTCTCGATCGTAACACCATCTAAAAACACGTTAAAATTGTGCAGCAGCAGGATTCCAGTCAAACAAGTGAGTTTGGTGGTTTTGAGATGATCATCTTTCGATAAAAAAAAACTATTTAATTTTGCCGACGTGCCTGCATGGCTAGGGCGACGCGCGCGCATACCAGAAACGGGAGACTTTGTTTTTTTGGCAATAATATTTATCTCTGTTTTCTCACATTTTTTTTAATCCACGTGCTGAAAGGCCCACTTGTTGTAGGCCTAGTTTCTTGCGTTATGCGTTTTGCAGTGAAATTTCTATACAGGGTGAGTCAAAAAAAGCGAAACCCAAATGTCGGGACTATTGTTTTAGTGAAGTTCTGCATGTAGTACTTTGAAAATGTAGAATATGAAAGCCCAATAAATAAGCTTTCTTTTAGTACAAGAATCATTCGAATCACTCATGTACCCTTCAAGTTACAGCAAAACGAAAACAATTCACACACATCCCTATGTGATTTGTTTTCGTTTTGCTGAATGAAACACTTGCCTTCTTGTGATCCGTGGACAGAACAAAACGGTGGTTGTCTTTAAAATTCCGTAACTTGAAAAGTACATGGGTGATTTGATTGATTTTTGTACTGAAAGAAAGCCCATTGGGCTTTCGTGTCCTAAATTTTGAAACGGCCACATGCAGAACTTCACTAAAACAATGGTCCCGATATTTTGGTTTCGCTTTTTTGACTTACCCCGTATTCCTCTGCACGTCACAGTTTTTTGGTCAACATTCCCTTATTCCGACTCGGAGGTTCCTGTTTCTCTTTCTGTTCTTTCTATTTCATTTCTTTATGACTGGTACTGAGAATCAGAAATGTGTACCTTGTTTCGCTGTACCATTGCTTCCGCTGTACAAAAGGGAAATTCCTTAAACCAATTTTTATTTCCTTAGATCTTGTTACACTGTGGAGTGCTGTGGCGTCGTGGTCTGGGTCATGAATTCGTGGTCTGCATGAGGGTAATTCTGGAGGTTGCGGGTTCGAGTCTAGCCTAAGGTTACGGTACGTGTGCCCTTGCGCAAGGCACTTTGTCACTCATTGCTTCTCCCCCCAGGAGTAAATTGGTAGCTATTGTGAGGGTAGAGATGCTTATTAGGTGTTGGGGCTTGAGCCCAACACCTATTGTTATTCTACAAACCTACTATTCCTCTTCTCCTTCTTGTTATTATTCTTCAAGAAAAATTCTTCTCCAGAAGTGTTTGTCAAAATGAAAACATCTATGAACTTCATTTGTCAATACATGAATGCACAATCCACTGAAGATGTGTGGTTTTTGTAATTACGTCATTATGACGTCATCATGGGTCACGTGACGGCACTTAAAGATTAGTAAATCTAATCTTTGAAAATCAATAAGAAATCAACCGTGACAGACCGGAACTTGAATCTTGTGGGAATTGATAAGATAATACGTGATCTTCATTTTATCTCGTGCGCGTCAAATCACGTGACCCTTCCTTCCGGTCAAAACCGGAAGTGCCTCATAATTTAAAAGTGGAAAAAGCTATTAACTTGCTTTCACGATGTTCGTGTTTGACTGGGTTGACCTTTCCCAAAAAAATGATCGGTGACGCCATGAAGTGTTCGAGCGCCCTCTATAGCGGCAGGTAAAAAAATGTCCAAAACGCATTTTCAGTTGATGTCTGTGGCAAAATTTGCAGTAATCGCTTCAAAATTAACATATATGATGACCTTAATGTAGACTACACCTGTGCGCGAAAAAAATGATTACGTCATCAGACCGGAATAATAATAATGTAAAGCGCTTTGATCTTAGTTTAAAGGGAATGTACAACATTTGCTTTTGCTGCAGTTTTCAGAGATAAATGGATTTGGAGGACTAGTATGTTATATAAAATATTGTTAAACTGACTTGTTTCACGTTTTAGGCTTGTAGATGCTGGGGGAAAAACAAAGAAAACCTACCATGTTCTTGCAGTGTGGTTCCCTGACCCCACTTAAGATGAAACGAAACAATTAATACACTTTGGGGAATTGTAAGGTCAGAGAATCAGTCTAACAGGCTTGCACCCCTTCACAGGTGTGTGATCAATTGCAAAGAAAGGTCAGAATAACTAAATATGAAAAAATAAGAACAGTTTTGAAAAAAAGCCAGTTTTCTCCAACGCTGGTCGGCCGACGTTGGAAAAATACACTTTTTCTTAAAATGTCAGCCCACCTGGAGCCACGATTCTAAAGGATGCTTTAGACTGTCAGTCCCTAACAATTCAGTAAGGTATTTCGTGATTATTTGGTCATTTCGTTTTTTGATGTTTGCAAATGTTGTATTTTCCCTTTAAAGCGCTATAGGGCCCGTTGTTATTAGTATTATTCCTTAAACATTTTTTTTAAATGCTTCTGACTTTTCCCTTGAAATACAGCACTGAAACAACTATTTCATTGGTGTTATAAGAGGTAATCTCATAGGACAGCACTGCCCGGCTTTCTCCATCAGCCCACCACTACTCTCAGTCATCAGTCAGTAAGCTACGTACAATGTACACAGGACACTTGTTGTCCCCGGTCTGGGACTATAACAAAAATAGTGGCGCTGACACAAGACAGTTAGCAATGCAAATTTTTATTTATCCAAGTTTGGAATGCATGCAAATACATTGTTACTGAAATACAAATACATTACAGAGCTTTAAACAGTCGTCGATTTTGTAATACTGTCCACAATTGTTTGGTTTTTCCACACAAAAAATTGAGAGAAAATCATGTAGACAACTATCAGGTGGTCCAATATTTCTTCCGGAAACACTAGTGGTCTGGTTACTAGATTTTTAACACAAATAGGCGATTACCCGGCTTTTGCGATTCGTAGGACATATAGAGTTGCTGGATGTTAAAGAAATGTTCGTGTCGAAGTTGACATTAAAGTAGACACAATATCGATACTGTCATGGTAAAATATTATTTAGTCTAAAATGCTACTTTTATTTACTCTCTCTCCTTTTTTCCCCAGTAACTTTGACTGGTTGGTGGGAACAAATTTGTATTAAAGTGAATCTCTAAATCTAGTACATGTGAAATACGTCTGAATAAAAATGTGTTTGTTGAAAATATTACACGCCTCAATTACTTAAGTTCAGTTTATTTCAAAATATGTATTTGATGTAAAGTAAATAATAAGATAACACTGAAACGCAGATGTACACAATTTATAAAGAAATAAGTAACAGTCCGGATAGTAAAATCGATTAGAAACTCAACAAAGAGAAACAAAAACTGTATCCTTCAAAGGGTCTGAAAACAACTATGAGGAAAGGAAGAATGATTATTATGCATTTTTTTGTGAGAGGATGCGTATATGACCTTGACCCTAAACTTCCTATGTTTTTTACTCAGAATAGCACCCAGTCCGCCAAAATCCATCTCCGACTCTGCTTCATGTAATGCTTCAGGACCAAATCCACACAAATCCACCACTGCTATGTTTTGATGGACTTGGTACTCATGGCTTGTCTGCCAAAATCCCGTTAAATGGAAAGGGATGGATTTTGATGGAGTTGGGAAGGTTAGAGCCAATTCAAATTGCAAATACCAATTTCATTAAGGACACTAGGATCAGTCTCTACCGAGTTAATGAATGAAACCGTTCTGACTGAAAGTGCTGATATGACTGGTACCAAATGCACTGTGAAAGTACGTTTGGAAAAAAACTAACATTAAAAGTGATTGTAAAATAGAGTGGCCGCGGGCACACTTTGTTAAGTTCGTCATCAACGGAATCCAGTTATGAGACCCCAAAAATGTGCATCTGTTTCCTCTGGTTTCTTAAATATGTAGTAGTCACTGAGCTACTATAGATTTTGAGCAAATTTCATTGCTTCAAATGAAAAAAAAAATGTACAAAAACAAATGATCCTCCATGCCTTTATTAAAGATGAAACGATTCTCCAGCTGCACGAATGCAGAAACTGTTCAACAACTTTTGGTATTTTCTATGTCTTGTTTTTGGCATTTCAGTTCAGCAGTGTCTTCTGACATAATGATTATCTAACAACCACAAAAACTCAACATGCGATCACTAATTGAAATGTTAAAAGCTTCTAGTCTTCAGCACATTAATTGAAATACCGTCAGGGAAAAAAATAATTGGTTTTTGTTTACTGCATAAAAGCACAAATTGCGATAATACAAACTTCTAACCATTCTGGACTAATAAGATACCATTTACATACAAACAGATAGGCAAGATAATAATACATGCAATAGAACACAATATGATTGTCATTATTAAGGCGGGCTCTTTAGCAAAAGGTACATTAAATTTATTGTACCGAAACTCCAAATGGAGTTAACTTATTTTTTTTTTTTAAATAAAAAAATAAAAAACCATACAAAACCATACTAAAACTACACATAGCATTAATACAAAAAGTGCTGAAGGTTAAAAACGACAATGCCATGCAAACTTTACTGTAGAAAAAAAACATTTCGTAGAAAAGATTTCAAATTCGCAAAGTTCTCAAATGTACAAAACTGGTCTAAAATTGCCACTACTTTTGTAACAGTGAAATTAAGAGAACAAATTCATTCTTGGAAAATTCTAAATTTCAAACTACCGTTACAACTTACAAGTACTTGATTTTAACACATTCAAATATTTCAAATATTCCCAAGGGAATTAAACACAACAAATAAACAAACACAAGATTGTTTAATTAAATTATTAAAAAACTGAATAAATGGTAATATACAATATACATGTACATAATGCCTTTAAAATGAAATGTAAACAATGGTTAAATAACGTGAGTTTGTAGGATTCTATAAACTTTAAACTTCTAAGCAATGCAGACTATATGTTTTAGGACTGTTCAGAATTAAATCTAATTCTGTTGCCCAGTGCAAATTGCCGAAACAGCCTGTGTTTTCATTAAGATTTTTTTCTTCTTCTTTTTCAGCCAAGTTCCCATAGCATTTGTACATGTTTTCACTTTGTGGCACTTTGGGCACTCAAATCGATGCGATTGCCTTTAAACTTGGCACACTTAGACCAGCACCTGTAGATGTGTGCCAAACATTGACGCCATCATGACGCCATCACGTGTCACGTAACGTCACAATATACATGTAGGTGCATATTTTGAAGGTCTGAATCTCCAGAACTGCAGGTCCGGATTGGATTGAAACTTTGTATGTACCTGAACCAGGATGTGTTATAGATGACAATTGAAGTGATGTCACGATGGCGTCATCACATGACATGTGACGTCATATTAAAAGTGCATACTCTGAAGGCCTATGGACTCCGTGCGCCAACAATGGAGGGCGCTGTTTTACCACTTCTGAGCGCCCCTTGGATGCACGCGATACGCACGACTTTTGTGCACAAGCCAAGCCACAGCGTCTTCGCCCGCGAGCGTCGGGCATCGTCGGCGCGCGAATACGTTGGAATTTAACTTGCAGTGGTCTCCCAACTAATCCCCGCCCCCACTAACTTGGATATCATTTGAAATACACAGTGGATGGATCGGGAACCAGTCTAGGTCACCCCCAACTCTCCTTTTCTGGCCGTTGGTGGGGTACTTGTGCAAGGAGCCCATATCTGCAGAACAATAGGTCCGTTTTGGTTGTAACTAAGTACCGGTATGTACTAAACTGGGATGTGCTACAGATGAATGTAAAGTGATGTCATGATGATGTCATCACACGTCATGTGACGTCACATTAAACATGCATTTTTCTATGGTCTATATCTGCAGATATACAAGTCTGATGCAAAGGAACTCATTTGCTTTAGCTCACCATGTACCTGTAAAAGTACATGTACATGTGCAATGGGGGCATTCAGCTTGAAGCAGTGGGAAAGTAAATCTCATTTGCTGCGATCTGTGAACTAGCATCTTAAACATACTGCTGAAAATGTACAAGCAACAAAAAGGAAACGCAAAGTGACTATGGTATCCTACACTGTTATACTGGTTACCCTAGAAAATACAAGTTAATCATTTCAGTTTCCTAAGCATTGCATAGTGAATTCAGCTTGTGAAGTACCACCTTTCAAAACCCTTTCACTGTATTTCTGCTCTGAGTTTTCCCATTGTTTTTTATCCTGGCCCCACCCCTTCATTTTATCTTCGGTCACAAAGCGTTCTATATACAGCACCAATTAATCTATAATAGTCTCAATGCATTACTTTCAATTCCTACTTTATTGCCAGACTTTGTCTGGCACTCTATTCCAGTTAGTTCAAGTGGCATACCCTTTTTCCCAAAGGCACATTTGACAGTACTGCTTGTTGATGATACTGATTTTTAGCTCCAAATGTGGTCAAAGCAATCAAAAACCCAAATTCATGCACAACAGTACTTCTTACCAGAGTACTGCCTTTTAGTATGCAAAGCTACATTTAAGGCTACTATTAAGCTTTCAATATTACACTACTGAGATGCTACAGCATCCCCTCCCGCATCCACCTCCCCATTCACCTCAACTTCCTTCTTCGTGCTCTCTTCCGTTGCTTCCTTCTCACCGCTTTCTTCTGGCTTATCCTCCGTCTTGTCTGCATCCTCAGCTTTCTGCTCTTGTGCTGGCTCCTCCTTGGCTTTGCTATCTTCCTCCTTGGCCTCATCTGTCTTGTTTTCCTCACTGGTGGCAGAAGTGGGATCCCCCTCTTCTTTGGTTTCGGCAGCTGGTGCCTCTGCTTTTGCCTCGCTGGCATCACCTGCGTCATCCTTCTTGGAATCATCTCCTGTCTTGGCCTCTCCCTCGGCAGCTGTTTCTTCTCCTGTTTCTTTTGCTTCCTCCTTATCCCCAGCTGTCACCACCTCCCCATCTTCCTTTGGTTTGCTGTCCTCTTTGATCTCCCCGTTCTCTGTCGGCCCGTTGGCTGCCTCCTCCTGCTTGCCATGCGGTCCTCGGTACTTCTTGCTACGCTTGACAAAGCCACCTTCGATGAGGCTGTATGCCATCTCAATGATAGCCGTCTTTATTTCGCGGGGCTCTGTAATCTTCAGGACTTCTTTCATCTGTGTAACACACAACAGCATGCATAATACAGGAATAACACCAAAACACCCAGTTTTGAAAGGATAGTTGTGTGGGTGTTTATATCTTACTTTTAAATGTTATTTCCGATTATCATCACTTCGTTCAAAGCGCATTTTGTAGCCCAATTGGGCTGTTCCAGGACCTAGTGCCCCTTTAATCAAGCTTCCACAATCGGAAGCCGTTACTAAAGTACTACCAAGCTCATGCAGAGGTCATATATTCCAACTTGACTGGCTAATGGACTTCATGCACTAACATTAGATGGTGCTTTAATTTGTGACCACCACTGAAAACTCCAGTTCAAGGGACACACAAGGTTTGGGCAGTAGTTGTCCATTCATGTATGGCGCGAAAGACACACAACTTTTATCCTGAATGTACACAAACCTGTAGCAATTGGTGTGAGCGTCAGGCTTGACAGGCAATGCATTCAAATGTCCCTCCAAGTTAGTAGCATAGTGACAAGTTTTTGATGGGGCTGGGTTTATCAATTTTTTCCCTTGGTTCCAAGATGTCCTTAGCTGTGTGATGTTTCGCGCACCATTCTTGGACTGTGCAGCAATTCACTGAAGTGGGTGCCCTTAATACACACACCAGCAGGCCCCAAAGGACGTCTTGGGAATTTTGTATTTCTGCTCACGAAATTCCGAGCAGAATTGAGTGTGCACTCGCACACGGGCGCGACCCAAGCATGTCTGGTTTTTGTACGTACTGCAGCTTGTCTATGTAAGAGATCAATGCTTGCAAGCAAATCATCCTTGGATGAGAAATGTCAACAGTGTAGACAAAAAAGTCAATTTGGCAGCAAAGAAACTGGGCCTTGAAAGGCTAAAAATCAGTGCTCTTTATCAATTTGGACGTGGCCAGATTCGAACCGAACTGGTCAACCCAAACGGTAATCTCCAACCAGTGAGCGCCTAGTGCCATAGATTGCACATGTAAGGTACATTGCCTGACTAATATTTTGCGGAACAGCTTTTTTGTTTTCAGCAATGCAAATGTGCTGCTATTTTGCATATTAAGTCACGCCCTGTTGAAATGCAAAATTTCAAAGACGTTCTTTGCCTTCATGCGGTTCGTCGACTGAGTCAGCTCCGTTAAGTGCCGCTGCGCGGCACACAAAGGCTAGCTGTACGGTCTATCATGGACTACCCTGATAAGAACATCTAGCACCAAGACTAGTTTGAGATCAATGGGGATCGGGACACTAACTCTCGTGTTGTCAAACTTGGTGGTCTTGTTCCAGATGGGAAGAGCCTGCTTGGCATCTTTCTTGAAGACACTGGCCATGGCGACGGCAGCCTTGGGTACCCCCATAGTAGGCACGTTGTAACCTGTGGGAAGAAATGGAAAACAGTGAGTGTGCACAGTGGTGGGATTTAACAAACTGAGCGTTTTACATAAAAAAAATGCAGCAAATGCAGTGTCTTGTTTGCACATGCAGCTGGTTGTGACCTCAGGCAGTATTGAGACACAACTTGTCCAATACATGCGATACTATTAGTTATCCCGCGAGCGCGAGTGGAACAAGGAATAATGTCATGCGTCTGTGTCTGAAGGCCGAGTTGTATGTGGGACATAGATGCACTACATTTTCCGTGTTTCACTGTGTAACTACATTTTCCGTGTTCCACGAGCGCGAGCGTGATAACAAATTTATCTTCAAGCAAACTTGACGCGTAGTAAAGTTGGACCATCGCTTTACACGAGCCTTTCAGCGGCTTAGCGCATGCAGCTGGAATGTCGCTCATATCTTTGAATAGCGCGCACACAGGGTGCGACATGGGGCGTGCAATTCAACCTCATATCACACTGTTGTTGCCATGGATCAACCAATCAGGATCGAGGATACAAGTTTGCTTGAAGATAAAATAACAAAGATCCACTTTTCAGCTTCATATTAGCAATATTGTGCATATATTATTCTGCATTTATTCCTCTGTTCTTCTTTGTTAGGCCTTTCATAGGCCTATCACACAAGCACAAGGTAAGCCTTTTAAATAAACACATTGTTTATTTACACAAACATACCCAAACAAAATCTAAAAATGCCCAGGCCATAAGAAGAATACAGTTTTGCGTACGAATGTCATTTTTGTGTTTGTGTGAGAAAAATGGCCTCTCTGTGGTAAATTTTGAAGGTTTATTGCATTGTCAATTTACTCCTACAGCGCGTCCCAAAATACCCGCATCTTTCTTTGCGAGGCTCTAGTGTCGGCACGGAAACACATACCGCCATTATTTTTATACAGTTTTAAAGCTTGGAATCTTAACTTTATCCCTGGCAAGTATTGGTTTGATAGCTAAAAGAGTTTTAATATTACTCGTGTTCAAACAAAGGCATGTCGAAAACAAGCTCAACCGATTTCAAGGAAAACCGATGATGCAGTACATCAGATGCAATACTGTAGGTACATACATGTACTTGCACATGAATTTCAAAATTAAACTTGAAACGAAGAACACTATTGTGAATCCGTTTAAGGTGTAGTCTACGTGGATCAAAAAGAATAGGACACACAGAAAGTAAAAGGCAACGATATTGTCACATCATGAACATGATGAACCATTTCCACATTCGAAAAAAATGCGCATGATTGATTTTCCTTGAAATCGGTTGAGTTTGTTTTAGACATGCCTTTATTTCAACACGAATCATTTCAAAACCCTTTTGAAAATCAAACCAATACTTACCAGGGATAAAGTTAAGTTTCTAAACTTTAAAATGATATAAAAGTAATGACGGTACGTGTTTCTGCGGCGACGCTAGAGCCTCATAAAAAAAAAACTGCGAGAATTTTGGGACGCGCTGTATTTGCCAAATGTCCTCAGTGGATTCGGCATCTCATAAAACAGCGAGCTCAAAATACAAAGTACATCTATTCTCTTTGTTTCCTTACCCTGTGACTTGAATTCTGCACTCAAGATGGCCGCCATCTCAGACCACCACAAGTTCTGTGTGCACAAGATGTGACGGTTCCCTGAATAACAAGGACAAAAAAAACATTATAAACTTAAAAATCTACGTACAACATCAGAGATGAAACTGCCATAAAGACAAGGGCACTGATCATGGTGCTTCAATCATGTCCATGATTCAACCACAAAACTCCACAACTCGTACTCCACTTGCATTCGTACCGGTACGTGGGAAAAAATCAGGCAGTATCGTCTTTCTCTTCCAACAAATGCCAGTGAAATGTTTCGCTAATGTTCTCTTCGCTAACCTCAAGATAATCATCATAATTTTTAAAGCACTGCATTTTGTACAACCAGATCTGAAACCTCCGAAAATCGCACAACATAATGATTTTAACCACTGGATCGTTCAGCGGTACGACTACGTTGGTACCATTGCATATCATCTTGTACATGTACATATGCACGCATCACACCATGCGACACATTGATTTTTCCATGTCACCTGTCAATGTTTAACCTTTTGTCCAGTCGGAAAAGGCTCCGATCAGTGTTATGTCCTGTCTTTATACCGTTGAAACACTCCAATAATGACCGGTGAAAGAGATTAAAACTACGTTCGCGATGATTTTAACGTGCCATTTCCATCAATTTTTCATCGACTTTTCTGCGAAATTACGATTGAAATAAAATGACATTTTGTGGAAAAATCGTTACAATGTGTCTCACAAAATTAGATTTTGTAAGAAAATCGGAACTTTTATTGGAAAATTCAAAAAGTCGAATTTCCGATTAAAATCGGAAAAGTTTCATCTCTGCAACATACACAATACTTGGATCAGAGGTTATAATCTGTAAACATATCCAAACTGTTGACAGAGACATAAATCTGTCCAAGATTTCAGAGAGATGGTGTTGAAATTTGGGGTTGGAAAGGCTGGATAGTATAACTTGCAAATGAGGACTCTATTTCAAATGCTTTAAAACGATATGGTACCGATTGTGAAACAAGATAAGGTGAAGAAAAGCATGGTTGTCAACTCACATCATGTACAGGGCGAGTAAAAAAAAAGGAAGCCAAAATGGTGCCCCCTATTTGTTGAAGAATTTCAGCATGTAGCACTTGGCAGATCTAGGATATGAAAGCCCAATTAATAAACTTTCTTTTAGTGAAAGTATCATTCAAATCGCTCGGGTACTTTTCCAGTTACGGAATTGTGAACACAAACACTGGTTTATTTTTAACATTGTCCATGGATCACATTTATGGTACGTGATATTTTAGTAAAAATGAAACCAAGTTGTATCCTGAAAATGATATCAGAATAATAACATGAGTCTCCGGAGTAGCCAAGTAGAAGGCAGGGCAAGACTAAACGCTTGACATTATAAAACATGTTATTTCAATGGTACCAATTGTGAAACAAGATAAAGTGACGAGAGACATGGTTTGTCAACTCGTATCATGTACAGGGTGAGTAGAAAAGAAAAAGAAAAGGGAAACCATGTTAAAACATGTTTTCAAATAAATGTTATGGTTATGGTTTATCATGGTCATGAGAGAGTATGGATGTGTTTTTTGATATATGAATAGTTTTCGTTATGCTGAAATATCACTAGACCTTTTTTGTGATCCGTGGACAAGCTTAAAAAAAATGGTGCTTGTGTTCAAAATTCCGTAACTAGAAAAGTACATGAGCGATTTGAATGATTCTTTTACTAAAAGAAAGCTTATTAATTGGGCTTTCGTATCCTAGATCTGGAAAGCAATGCCTGCACAACTTCTTTAAAAAAATATGGGCACCATTTGGGTTTCCTTTTTTTTTTTACTCGCCCTGTATTCAAACAGCTTTTGAATATTTGTTCTCCCTGTGCTATTTTCGAAAAAAAAAAATAGATTTTGTTTTTCAAATATTATTTTTCTAGAAATAAAAAAGGTATTCACTTTTGAATGCAACATGAAACAAAAAAAATCCACCACTTTTCATTTATGAAAAAATTTGCTTCATGAAATTTGAATTATTTGCGGCCTGACAATAAGTAAGGAATATATTTTTCTGTGTTACAGACGTTAACCCCTTAACGCCGGCTGACGGCAGTGACCACAGCTCTATAAAGGCCGATGAGCCGGGGACGCTGCGGCCGCATTCCTGCTGCATGGCCGCCTTCATTTATGGACAATAGCCAAATGCCTGCATGTACACATTTCACTCAAAGTGCAGCTGTCCGTGGCCGAACAATACCGGCGTTAAGGGGTTAATTTAAAGCCAAAATAATCCAAGAAAATGAAATAAGGGAACGACAGTGTGATGGAGCCTTTTGAAAGTCTGGTTAAATACCAGTTAGGGGGCTTGGTCACCACTAATGGCCCGAGACAACTTGGGTTAGCTGCATGCGGCATGCTGATTGATGTAGTTATTTATGTATGTATGCATGAGATATGTACCAGTGGGCAAAATTTTTACCGCAACTTTTTAGCCTTGGACTTCAGCCACGTTTTGTTCCCCATTTTTATGAACAATGCCTTTACATAAAACCTACCGGTACAAGCTTTGAAGAATAAATTATGCTCTTTTGTTGAAAACAAAATACAAAAACGAAAGCAGAAATTTAGTGTCCCGATTCAGGGGCCACCTTAAATTACTGGCCAGTTTTAAACACTTATCAGCGGTGTTTAAACAGTGGTTTAAAACCACACGAGTGTTGGGATCTCGACCAAAAGAAAGAGGTTAACTGTCTCAGGTATTTATGAATTTTTAATCATAAAGACAGTTTACAAATTCCTATTGGTCGAGAGCCCGTCACATGGCAGGTTTTAAACGGTTGATAAAGACCGGCTGGCTGGTCTTAAATACTTCTCCAGTTTCGCATGAAATTTGGACTCCTTTGAAATCTGGTGCCTTTAACTGTTTTATTGGTTGAACGTTCACAATACCCATGTAGGCATGCGAATACTACCAGTGAGTCAGTATTTCATGGTCCTAAATTCACAATACACCGGCACAGTTGTGTTCTGCGCCACATCGCGCAGTACACGTACGCCAATCTCTACATAAGGGGTTGTTTACAACTACTCGTGAGACTGGACACACCATAATATAGCTACAGGGGTGTTCCGCGGAAACAGAAGTAAAATTGTTGAACAAAATCACTAGAAATGTATACTCTTTGACTTGTTTTGACTTTTGGACTGAAGAATTTTGATTTTTTTTTGATCGAAAAGGTATTTATGAATGGAAATAAGTGTGTGCTTGGCCGGTTTTTAACACTATGTTTAAGACCAGTTGGAGTCTAGGTGCTGATAATTACCTACATGTAAGCCCAAGGCAAGGGTTATTATCAGCATCCAGACTCGGCCAAGCACACATTTATTACCTTAATGTATTTAAATGGTGCCTTTGTGTTGTTTTCCCTGTCCTTTACCCACCTTCAGCCTCCTTTGTTGTGAGAGCCTTGACGTGGGCCGCAGCAGCATCTCGGACATCCACCACAGGGAGGTTCATCTTGGGGAGGAACATGGGGTTACGCTCCAGGAGCCGTTTGATCAGCTCGATGCTGGTGCACATGGTGGTGCTGAGGACCGGGCCCAGCATGGAGACGGGGTTCAAGACCACCAGCTCGATTTTCTCCTCATCTGCGTCAAGAACAGATACAGTCAGCTAGGTCAGTATTTAAGTCTGTCACAGCTGAGAGTAACCAGTGTGTTTTGAATTGGCCACCATCCTTTTCATTTTAGGAAACCTTCTATTGGTACATTTATGTCAGAACTTCATATTATGTGCATACTTTTGATTTTGTTGCAGAATAATACATTTTAAACTGTTTTCCCCCTGGGGGAAAGGGTGTTTAGATCGGTAGGATAATGCACTTTATCCTACGTCACTTTTCAATTTTGTCTTTGTGTTTACCGTACAAGTGGCCTGCTGTCTATGAATGCGACTATTTCAACAAATTGACCCAAACAAGCAGTTACTTTGATCTGCTGGCCAGTGGAGGTGGGTAGGGGCATGGGCCTTATGCACGAGTTGGCCATTTTTGTCGAGTTCCCTGAACGCATTTCATTAATTGTTAACCAGTGAATGGGATGGCGCCAGACTAGATATTTTATTCTTTTCTTTGGTGATTCGTTGTCGTGTATGGCAGTAATCCAATGAGCAACCCTTTGTCGCATATATATTTACAAAAAGCAAAGTTCGGGTTCACAATTTGAACAGAATACCCGTAAACTGAACAGTGTCTTTCTTAATAAACATCACAGCAACAACACCCTCAGTTGTCTGGAATATTAGCAGTAAACCAATGAGCAACCCTTTGTCGCATAAATGTTTACAAAAAGCAAAGTTCGGGTTCACAATTTGAACAGAATACCCCTAAACTGAACAGTGTCTTTCTGAATAAACATCACAGCAACAGCGCCCTCAGTTGTCTGGAAAAGCACAGACAGTTTTAAATGTTTAAAGAAGTGCACTTTTCAATACAATAACCAGAAAGGGATGTCAAATATTTGTCGTACATTTAAGAGGATTAGACAGTTGCACAAAATGTGTTCCTGAAAAAAATTCATCCCACGGACCCTTTAACAACTTTACGCCAAAATCAGCTGAGCACCATCATAAGCAATACACATTGCATGACAGTTTGGCCGGTGACCTGTTTTAGCTGAGCAAATATTTTCTGAGCTTAGCAGTTTTATGACATGGGCCCCCAGAGGGCCACACCCACCCTTGAGTTCCTTGACAAAGTCCCAGGCCGCCTTCTCTGCTAACGTCTTGCTCTTGGCGTAGGGGTCCAGCTTGGCCGGCTCTGGCCAGTCCTTCTCGGACACATCCACACCTTTCAAAGTACCTGAATATATGTTGATAAAGGAGAAAAAATATAGCTTGGTGGAAGTTTGCATCGAGGAAAAGTAGATTTCACAACTAGCTTTGCTTTTCATCAACTTTGTTTGTTTCATATTATTAACTCAGTCCTGTCCTGTATGCTTAGTGGCTCTGCATTCACATTTTTTTTCTAGAAAGCCTTTTCGGCATATTCAAGTTGTGGACTTCGTGCGCACAAGTGCCCCATCTACGTTACGAAAAGGAGAGTTGGGGGAGACCACTCGAAGGGACATTCCAATGCACTGCTAACGACGCCCAGTGCTCACATGAGGGCGCTGCAGTTCAGTGCGTCCACACTGTGTGTCCTGCCCACACGAGCTATCAAATGTGGTCTCAATTTGCACCATCTACTGTTCGTGCACACAGTCCATTGTTGGGGAAAAAGAGGCCACGGTAGACAGTGCCCCCTTTTGTCAGATCTCCCTCTTCCAATTAGCCTGCTGTTTTTAATTTCACATGGTTTTACAGTAAATCAGGAAACAGTAGTGCTAGTTTTGGTTTAACTGCAATATTTGGGGATGAAAACCCCAAACAAAGTTTTCTGATGATGCTCATCTATAGGTAGGTCAGACAGGCAAGTAGCAAACAGACTAAATTACATGTAATACCTCCAAATAAAAAGAAACAGACAATGTGCATCAGTTATAATAATTAGGCTGTTTAACCACTTAACGCCGGAGGACATGTTAACACGATCGTGCAATGTATATTCGCAGCGTCGGGTGATGGGTTATTTAATCGTCAAGCTTTTCCCATGTCTCCGGCTGTGGACGTGTATATGCATCAGTGGTTCCCATTGGTTTTATACACACCATGTTTTGAACTTGAATTTCGCCTGTCGCCTTAGCAAATATCACTCCGTGGTGGGGCCTCGGCATATTGCAAAATATGCAGTTACAGTGAGAAGAATCATATGAATATTGTACACATGACTCTCAAGAGTCAGTATTTGTGGTGTTTTAAAATTTGGTTGATATATATCTTGTCTCGTTCAAAAATGGTGTTTTCCTGCCAAAAAATAATCCCGGCGGCAAGTGGTTAACAAAGAATTTGACTGGAGCTGAGTTTGAGCCTGCGACCTCCGGAGTACCGATCAACTGAGCTATCCAGCCCTATGTTGGCAGTTCCCCACTTGGTCAATGTCTTTGTTCAAGGGGCGCTAGTCAGGAGCCAGAAACCCATATCTGCCACATAGCCAGGGATCACACCGGAAGTCACAATGTTTCCAACATTAGCAATGCTATAAACCTTGGAAATGGCAAACGGAGATCACTCAGAGAGGATGTGGTTTATGGCTTTTGACTAGTGCCCTTGAACAAAGACATAATGGGGAACAGCTGGCTAGCTCGGCTGGTAGAGCACATGTACGGTATTCCAAAGGTCCAAGATTCGAACCTGTTGCAATATCTTTGTTCAACGTTCTCATTAAAATTACAAACAGCATATTGGACTGCAATAGCTTACCGCAAATGGCAAGCCCTGCACTGGTCAGGACCACACGCTTGACTGTCTTGGATTCCACGCAGGCCTTAAGAACGTTGGTCACGCCCTCCACCGCTGGCTTGATCAAGTCATCTTCGTTGCGAGGCGTAGAAAAAGGGAAAGGGCTGGCTGTATGAATCACATATGTGCAACCCTCAACAGCACTGTACATGGAATAAAATCAATAATCAATCTTACATGTACATGTAGACTAAACGACAATCATTTCTACCAGTAGCTGACATAAAATCGTCATAGACTAGATCTGTTATTGCACTTTCTCATGCTACTTATTAACAAAGCCCGTTTCACACTACGGCCTCTCAACCTGGGTTGAATTCAACTTTGGGCGAACCCAGGGCCGCCCCAGGTTGAGTTTTTTATTTTCAACCCCGGGTTCAACCCCACATCGTTTCACACTTGTTTCATGCAAACTGAGCTTATTTCGAGCTTATACTACTGTTTTGAACCCTGGGGAGAGTTTCAACCAGGGTTGAAACTCTCAACCATAGTCCAGATCAGGGTTGAGTTCAACCCGGGGTGAAATCAATCTAAGGGTTGACGCAGGGTTGGCGCAGGGTTGAAAATTTCAAGTGTGAAACGCCGTTTGTTTTCAACCCTGTGTCAACCCTGCCTGCGCCAACCCCGAAATCTGTCAAGTGTGAAAAGGCCTTAATAAGAGGTAACAAGAGAATATGAGATATTTATGTTTTACGATAATAATCCTCACAAGCCTGAAACCCATCCAATAGATGAAATACAGAATGAGTAAAAAAAAAAACGAAACCCAAAGGTTGGGACCATTGTTTTAGGGAAGTTCTGCATGTAGCATTTTCAAAATCTAGGATATGAAAGCCCAATTCATAAACTTTCTTTTAGTACAAGAATCATTCAAATCACTTATGTACTTTTCAAGTTACGGAATTTTAAACACAACCACCGTTTTAAGGTTCTGTCCACGGATCACAAGAAAGTTAAGTGTTCTTTCACCAAAATGAAAACAAATCACATAGGGATGTGTGTGAATCGTTTTCGTGCTAAAAGATTGCACTCCTTTTTAAAGTACTGCCATAAACTGTTTAATGTTGGCAAAATAATATGCAAAAGATGCTTAAATGTTTGGGTTGCCCATTGGTTGCCCATCGGTTACCCGTTAGTGTGACGTCATAGGGCCAACGGTCTATATTCCTGTGTATTCTCTATTCCTGATTTGCCATATATGGACTTGGTGCAGAATGATACTAAGACAGAGTTGGGGTAGCCTTTAGTCAAGTCCCACGCACCTATACCCGGACCATCCGGACACGTAACGCACCCCGGATGCTGGCACGTACCGGTAAAAAGACTAGCACGAGCGGCAAAGCCGCGAGGGCCTTTACTATCTCGTGGAACTAATCACTTATTCATTTATTCACGTAATATAAGTCAAGCAATATAAACCAATCATCTAACAGTGGTTTGCGGTTACCAGCAACAGCACACCCGCCATGGCTGTCTGGTGCCAGATGACGGCTGCATGATTTACGTTTGTAATTCTGCATTTTCATTGGTCAATTCACAACGGGTAATGCATTATTCATGTCTACCAAATCGGTAGACAAATGTAAAGAAAAACATAAGCGTTCTCCACGAGATGGTAAAGGCGCTACGCCGCTCGTCCTAGTCTTTTTACGTGTCAGCATCCGGGGTGCGTCACGTGTCCGGGTAAGCGCGTGGGACTTGACTAAAGGCTAGAGTTGGGGGAGACCACTGGGAGGGATAATGCATTGCCAACAGCGTGTGACGCTTCAGCGAAGACACTATAGATTTGTGAACATTCAGAATAAAATCAGTTGTGCGTACATCGCACCATGCGCATGCAATTCCAGTACGCGCACACGGTTTGTCTCTATCACTGTGGCAGTAGCATAACTAGGGTTAAAATTCTGAGGGGGAAACCTGGAGATGTACACATTTTTGGTGCTTAATGCCATTCGGTGTTTAGTGAGGAATGTCAGACACAAGGCATTTTATATACTTTTGTTCAATTCAAGTTTTTTTAAATGAGGGAGGGGCACCTGGCGGGGCAGGGGGGGGGAGGGGCATGGCCATCCACTGGGGGCATGTGCCCGTCCCCCACCCCAGTTACCCCACTGAACGGAGGCTTTCGAAAGTGAGACCATGAGAAGTTTGTCTGTCTTTGAAATGCACACTAGAAATCTTTAAAACATTATCAACGTATCTTCCCATCAAATAACATCAAAAACATGACCCTGATTGCAAATACTACAATGAAATTGGTGCATTGGGGGATGGGTTCATCTAAAGTATGCAGGGAGTTATCTGGGGCCAGATGCCTTACTTTTCAGGAATGCACAAGACAAGAAACTGCACGTACAACTAAGCATTCATGAATTCTATTAAAAAAACTGATAGCAAAAACAGTCAAATTGCCAGTGAAATCAGAGCCACGCAATCAGATCTGGAATTCTGATATTGTGAGCATAATGTGTATGATCTCTCATGCACACACCACATGCTTTTATGTCCATGACTTGTTGTACAGTATGACTACATGTACATGTACATACATCTGAAAAATGTTGACTTGCCAGCACAGAAAAAGTACTACTATTGTTGTAGTACTCATACTTTTTTCTCCTACTCATAACCAAGTGCATTTTTTTCCTACATGTACTTTGCGATTGTACTCGTACGAGTTCATACCCAAAAAAAACACCCGTAGAAGTTACTTTTTTTTAAAGACTTTTTGTTTGCTGGTAAAAACCCTTTTCTATTATTCACTAAGCTACTGTACATGTCTAACATGTAGTCTGGCAACAAAAAGTCTTTCAGAACATAAACTCACTGAAATGTGCTAAAATGCGATTGTACATGTACTCGTACTTGTATAAAAAAAAAAACACACACCCGTAAAAGTTACTTTTTTTAAAAGACTTTTTGTTTGCTGGTAAAAACCCTTTTCTATTATTCAGTAAGCTACATGTCTAACATGTAGTCTGACAACAAAAATCTTTCAGAACATAAATAAACTCACTGAAATGTGCTAAAATGCGATTGTACTCGTACTTGTATAAAAAAAAAAACACCCGTAAAAGTTACTTTTCTTAAAAGACTTTTTGTTTGCTGGTAAAAAACCTTTTCTATTATTCACTAAGCTACTGTACATGTCTAACATGTAGTCTGACAACAAAAAGTCTTTCAGAACATAAACTCACTGAAATGTGCTAAAATGCGATTGTACTCGTACTTGTATAAAAAAAAAAAAACACCCGTAAGGCCAAAAAAAAAAAGTCTCCGGTTTCTGGTATGCGCGCGCGTCGCCATAGCCATGCGCGTCGGCAAAATGAAAAAGTTTTTTTTCAATACAAGATGATGTCTCAAAACCGCCAAACTCACTGGTTTGACTGGAATCCTGCTGCTGCACAATTTTAACGTGTTTTTAGATGGGGTTATGATCGAGAATAAGCTTTATGTGGCCTCTCTGGACTCCCATATATTTGCACTAAGTTTAGTCGGGCACCATTTGCAGTCATCAGCCGACATTTAGAGCTAAAAAAAAAAAAAAAAACAGGTAAAAAAAAAAAAAAAAAGCCGCGTCGCCGCACCACAAGCTCCATACCAGAAACCGGAGACTTTTTTTTTTTGGCCTAAAAGTTACTTTTTTTAAAAGACTTTTTGTTTGCTGGTAAAAACCCTTTTCTATTATTCAGTAAGCTACATGTCTAACATGTAGTCTGACAACAAAAAGTCTTTCAGAACATGTACATGTAACCCCATTGAAATGTGCTATAATGCATGGAAAAGTACAAGTACATACCGGTATACTACGGAAAATGTACTCCTACTCGTGCTTATGGAAAGGTACTTGGGCTCGTTTTCATGGGGGAAAACAATTTCCTTTTACTCAATACCCATACAGGTACACACACGTTTGTTTATGGCGTAAATCAAGGATTTTCTATTGTTCCTCTTCCCTTTTCCTTTGTTTATACTCTAACTTTTTCGCAACAGCTCTCATTGGTTTTGTACACGTTGTCTAATCGAGGTCGTCCTCGATTTGGTTCCTGTCCTCAATTCATTGATGATGTTGCACGTGTGTGTCCTCGATTTACAAAAAATGTACACCTATAAACAAACCCTTACAAGTGCTCATACTCCTTTACTCATGGCAAAGTACTTGTACTCATACTCCTACTGTATTTTATCAGGGGTTTTAATCCAACCCTTGTTGGGACCGGGATGGAGAGGCTCTCCTAGTGACACGGGTACCCATAAAAGATGCACCCAGGTACCCATAAAAGATGCACCCAGGTACCCATAAAAGATGCACCCAAATACCCCTAAAAGATGCACAGGTCTGGGTACCCATAAAAGATGCACCCAGATTCCCATAAATGATGCACTTGGGTACCCATAAAAGATGCACCTAGGTACCCATAAAAAATGCACCTGGGTATCCATAAAAGATGCACCTAACCCCAACATTCAAATCCTGGAAGTTGGAAGCTCTATTGCTTCACGGTGTAAAATGCAACTTTTGCAAGTGTCATGTGTTGCACATTAAAATGGACAAATATGAAATCTGTTTTGGTTTTCCTTGTAGCCTGGTTTTCATTTTGAAAATTCTCCACAAATGGCATTCAAACCCTTCTTTTTCATTGTCTGAGAAGTAATTGGTAGGAGTTGGTTACGGGTACCCGATCCCATATTCTGGAACCGGTTCCTGACATCAGCGGTATGGTTCTTGGGTACCCGGTTCCAATGCACACCACTAGGCTCTCCTCAGGTAGAAAATCCAAAGGCTACACTTGACCCGTGTACATACAGAACTGGTTTTAGTGTGAATGATGTGTCTTGTCGACCTGTGTTTCAATCACACCAAATGTAACTCAAAGTAGACCATGCGTTGATTCTAACATGGGTAGGCGAGACAATAGTGTATAAAGGCCCATATAGATCTTTTCATTTGGGAACATTGGGTGTCATATGGGCTGCGACAAGGGCATAAGGCCCAAAAAAAGTCTTCGGTTTCTGGTATGGAGCTTGCCCCAAATGTGGTGCAGTAACGCAGCTTTTTTTTTTTTAACCTTGTTTTTTCGTCAAATGTCGGCTGATGACTGCAAATGGTGCCCGATTAAATTTAGTGCAAAATGTATCGGAGCCCAGAGAGGCCACATACTCGACCGTAACCCCATCTAAAAACATGTTAAAATTGTGCAGCAGCAGGATTCCAGTCAAATCAGTTAGTTTGGCAGTTTTGAGACATCATCTTACATTGACCAAAAAAAATAAATATTTTGCCGATGCCCATGGCTAAGGTGACGCGCGCACGCAGACCAGAAACCGGAGCCTTTGGGGTGCTGGGGGGGCCCTAAAGTGAACGCTGTGGTCCAATGGTTACGGTGTTGGAATCACGTGCCGTGGTACATGGGTTCGAACCCTGTCGGGGAACATGGTGCTTGTGTTCTTGGCAAGACACTTCATTGCTCTCTCCACCCAGGAGTAGAAACGGGTTCCTGTGAAGGTAGAGACCAGAATGTGCTGATCTTGAGCTAGCTGCAAAAACTGGTCTCATGGCCTGATGAACAGGGGTAATAATTGTGAAGTGCTTTTAGAACGTTGGTTCCTGTATAAAGTTCTAAATAAGCGCCACATTATTATTATGTAAAGAAAGAGGCATGTTATTAAGTCTGTTGTAGTGTGTGTTGGTTATTTTGTACCGAGAGTATTTCCAACAATCAAATGATGTCTGGAAACATCAATAACAATTGTTATTTTTGTGTTTGTGAGTTTGTTTCTGCATTCAATAGGGGACGTTAAACAATAGAGGACAACAGACCTTTATCATGCTGCCACCATTTTCAGTCATGTTCCCTGTATCCAATAACACTACTGAATGATAATGTTTTTTGTGCAAAAAGGAACCAGACTATTTTCCCTTCTAGCCTCACTTTGGTTACCTTGATTTGAATGGGAAAAATCCAAATGGCCGCAACATGAAAATGGTCTATAGGGTCCCCAATTCCCGAAGGGTCCCCAATTTGGCTATGTGTACAAAACGTATTGGAGGTCTTCCTAAAATGTTAGAGTACAAACAAAAGAGGGACAATAGGGGGTCCCTGATTGCAGGTAAATACAGGTAGGAATACACCGCGTTATGGGGAAGTTTTTTATTGTTAGGCAAATTAGGACCGAGTTATGGGGACTTTCTGCTGTCCCCATAGCATTTTCGGTCCCCACAAATACCTCACAATTACGGAACAAGAATTTATACAATTGTGTGTGTGTGTAGTCCCACTAACTGGGGCGCTAGAACTCCTTTTTTGACATTTGGCATGTTGGTCTGTCGTACAAGCGAAAACCAAACCGAAACTGAGCGGTCTTTGTGCCAGTGCTCTGGCATTGCGCGCGCTCTGGCGACTTGAGCAATGAACTCTTGACCGCCTGACAACCGATGTAGACTAGTACGACAGACCAACATCCCAAATGTCAAAAAAGGAGTTCTAGCGCCCCAGTTAGGGGGACTAGTGTGTGTGTGTTTGCAGTAAGTTCCACACTTTGGCAACAAGTGGTTGGCAGTTGGCAAAGAACAGTATTATCAGGCACGCAACTGTAAATTCACCAAAAAAGAGGAAATTCCTAAAGTCAGAAGACTTTGTACAGTGATTTTCAATTTTGAATGGCAGAAATGAGAATAAAAAAAGAGGAAATCAGCTGATTCTGTGGAAAAATTGCATGCCTGTATTATATACATGTATGTACCTCTTCCAGCTGTCTGCATTCTGTAGCTCAGCCTGCACCAGCTCCACCTCGTACGCAGCCTCCGGGCACAGCGTCTTGAGGTGCTTGACCTTCTTCTCATCTTCCAGGTTCCGCACCGATCCCTTGACCTTGTAGCCGGCCTCCTGCAGCTGCTGGACGACATGGGAGCCCAGATAACCCGACGCCCCAGTCACTAACACCCCTGCAAAGTGACAACAAATTAGATTGGTTGGGGTCAGGGTGTAATGCCAGACAAATAAAGTTGCGAACGAGATAATTTTTGGGGGTGAAAGTTTGTTTCGGGTACATGGATCTCATTGGTTTATCATTGTGCCTGCCGCTTCCTGTTAAAAAAAAAGAAGATGCATCACATCATGCCAACATTGTAATGCGAGAATATAGTTGCTATAGAGACAATGTTTACTGCAAAAATTTTGTTTCAGGTACATGTACATGGGTCTGAAGTATCGTGGCTGCACATTGAAGAGACATCACACCTTTTTTTTTTGGCACTGTCCGTGCTTTTCAACAATTTTTTTTTTTCCTCCAAATTTTTTTTTCAAAATGTATGTTTTGTTTTAATTTTTAAAAAATATGCTTTGTTTCTATTTGAGCATCTGCAAAACAGAAATGCATACCGGTATGTGATTGCTTTTGTGTACAAACAGATCTGCTCTGCAAATACACTGGTTCCTGGTCCCTTGTTTTTTATCCTTATAGGGGGCGGGAACCAGTCTCTAACCCAGTGTTGTAGTCGAGTACTTTATTTTCAGAGTACCGAGTAATGCTGAGTACTTAGGTTGTCGAGTACGAGTACGAGTACAAGTACACTTGTACCGTACTTCCGAGTACGAGTACACTTGTACTTCCGAGTACAAATACAGGTCTCTGAGTACGAGTATTTGTACTTCCAAGTACGAGTACGCGTAGGAGTGCGATTACTTCCGAGTATGAGTAAGAGTACCAGTACTTGTATTCCGAGTACGAGTACGAGTATATTTCCAATTACCGGTACGAGTACTAGAACATTGTGCTTGAAGGCAGTGAACTGTCTTTCGAAGCATTCTTATTTTCAATTACTTGAAATTATTATTTTTTTTAATCAGCAACAGCAGTCTCAAGTTAATGTTTTTTCCAAGGAAATACTACACATCTGAGATACAGACATGAAAGTTAAGGTCAACCGTCACTGAATAAAATTAATCTACGTGCTGTGCATTTGAAGTCCCAAGCCTTCATGTATTTCGGGCACTTGGATTCCCCAGACTAAAATAACATGCAAGCTGCGCTAGTGTTTAAATGGTGATATTCTTAGAATGGATTCAGCAAAAAGAAATTGGCTTCCAGTCATTATTATTTTGGTGGTACATATCTTTTTAATATGAAATATATTTTGGGGGCTTGGGTTCCGCTTTATTTTTTAAAAATCACCCTGTACATAGTTATGTACATGTAACAGGCAAAAGCTTGTTTCACTGCTGATTGTAACTATTTGGTTACAAGTCAATGAAAATCTTTCTGCATTTGTCATTTCACTGATTGGAGTTTCCATGTCTGTGAACAAAAAGCTAATGACCAAATTTAGGTCTTCATTGTATTCTACTAAGTTTTACTGGTTCAAACAATCTGAGAATGTAACCTCATAGTCCTACGGTGTACAGTGTACGGTACATCTCGGTATTTTCAAAAAAGGTGCGGACAGTACACATATCTTAATGCCAAGCTCAAAAGAGTGAATAATACCGGTATGATCAAAGTTTAAAGGGGCCACGAGATTAACTTTTCTCAGGAACACATTGTGTGCAACTTTCTATTCCTCTTATAAAATGAATGATAAATTTCGACATCCCTTTTAGGTTAATTTCATTGAAAAATGCACTTCTTTAAACACTGAAAATTGTCCATGCTTTTCCAGACAACTGAGGGCGCTGTTGCTGTGACGTCATTTCAGGGAGACACTGTTCAGTTTAGGGGTTTTCTGCTCAAATTGTGAACCCAAAACTGTACTCATTGAAAATATTTGTGAGAAATGTTTGTTCATTGGATAACACTGCCATGCACTGACACGACGACGAATTGCCACAGAAAATTTATGAACAAAAAAAATCCAAAATTATCAACTTTTGATGCTGAAAAAGCTGTAACATTGAGGTTTCTGCCTGAAATGACATGACACTTTTGCACATGAAAATGGAAATTTGCATTTGGCATAAAAACCAAAAATGCACCAAAATACCCATAAATGGCAAAAGGATAATTGAAAACCACGTATTAAAATGGGACACAAAGGTGCATTTTCATTATAAAAAAAAATACATTGCATGAGCCCTTTTAAAATCAAGCAGTTGGACAAAGAGCCATTCAACAAAGCTTCCATTTAAGGCCTATACTCCTTTTGCTCAAATTTCATGTCTTAGTCACTAAGTAGTCTAGCATGGATAGCATGTGCTTTTCACATCAAAGTCGTTGGGCAGCTTTTTAATAGCTTCACAGAGAGCCATAAGAGGAAGTTGAACTTGAACAAAGAGGAAGACAAGGCTGGAAAAAAAAACCAGCAAACAGCCTAAAGCGGTCGCCCAGACCTTGGACAAAACAGTGGATGGTTTGGCCCAGTGCCAATATTTCAGGCAGGGTTCTCCACTGTAGATTATGTGAACCATTGCCTCTAAACCAGCACACAAGTTTTGGTTTTTACTGTTTTCCAAATTTATCGGGAGTATACAGTAGATTTCAGAGATGTGGAACGTGTAAACGATTATGGAATGGTTACGGTTTATAGGCTCTATGCCGCATTCTTTCTTTTTTCAGGGTTGGCGATTTTTTAGATTTTTTTTTAAAAATAAAAAAAAATCGGATTTATTTGATTTAAATCAGATTTTTTTAATTTAAATCAGATTTTTTAAAATTTTTTTAACTTTCAAAATATTGATATGTCTAAACATGTGTCTAAATCTCCCAATACACCCCTACACCCATCACTAAGGAGTTTACAGGTTCCTATAATACCCATCATCCACAAAACTCAGTAAATTGATAAATGCTTTTGAAAAAAATTGTATTGAATCAGTGATTTAAAAAAATCACTTGATTTCTTCTACATGTAGTCGACATCATTGGTTCAATGGTACATTAATACTGAAGACACTTTAAAGGTGCATTGCTTGTTTTTTTCATTGAGTGAAAGAACATGCTCGTGCTTCATTGGTGTGTCAAATTTATTTGCCCTTTTGAAGACAAAAAAACATATTAATCTAACTCACTTTATTTTGACTCGCCCTGTTTACAATGCTTTATACAATGCTTAACAGTCGAAAACCAAGTAATAAAGGTATATTGCATGTGGGTTTTGGAATATTTTCAAATTCTTTAAGTTATAACCAATCTACCATACAAACTTTATTTCATTCAAATTGATGCATTGGAACAAACGCTACATGTATGCTTCATCGAAGTCAAGGGTTGAAAATCATCTTGGGCCACTTTCCTTGAAAGGGAGAAAGCGCAGTTAGAGAAACACACAAAGGATTTATTTCCTTTGTTCAAGAGTAACGTGTGACTTATTCAAACGCCTTCGATCTGTAAACTTGATTAAAATAAAAAAGTGGCCCAAGTGGTTTTCCATGTCCCGCATTGTGATTGTTGTATTTTTTGGACAAGTACATGTTTACATCCTAATGAAACCAACTAAGCGTTTGGAAGACCAATTATTCTACTCAGCAATACATCAGACACAATTTTGAATACTACCCCCACTTTTCTGAAAATACGCCGATGGACAACCTGTACTACTTTCGTCATGCACCCCATTTCATTGCATTGTATTCTATTTATTTTTTGTGTAGACATTTCGAGCATGGGTAGGCAGGCCTTAGCGCTACAGTGTTTAAGTACACTTTTGTTTACCCTGGCCGGTTTGAAATGTTATATTGTTCTTGTTTTCTGTCCCTCTATCTCCTCTCCCCTATCAAACTGTCCACCCTCCCTTCCCTCCCCCCCCCCCCCCTCCCACCAACCCAGTCCTACTCCCATCAGTCTTCAGTCTTGTCTGGTCATTCTTTTCAATTTCCATTTTTTGTTTACTTTCTGATTTTTATTTGTTTTGACATTGCACTTTTGTACATTTGTTGGCCGAATAAATAATAATAATAATTTAAAAACTCCTTCCCTCCTGACCCTGTCCGCACTGTGACCTGCTTTCTAACCAAAAAGGTTCCTTCAGTGAGAAATGAATGAATCCACTTGTACCTCAAACTTCCTCCAAGCCCTGGCTCTGGCTCCATTCTAGGGTCCTTGATACTGGGTGTTTCCGGGCTGATTTACTGTCTACGCTGTAGGAGGTTGGCCGAAGGTTACATGCAGATTCCATTTGGGAATTCAATCAAACCAATAGGAACCAACTTGCCGCATAATTTATTTCCGTTTATTTTTCTCTGATAAGTAAGGGCAGTTTTTATTTACTTTGAATAAAGGGTTTCTTTAGTTTGGAAAACTGTGGGGATTTTTTTTTCAGGTAGTACATGTACATGTAATTATGCCATGAAAAAAAACCCCATAGTAAAACAAAACAAAAACAAAACCACCAAAAAGCTGTTGGCCATGCTATATAAAAAGGCAGAAATGTAAATCGCCACGTTTTCCTGTTTTATCAGAAAACACTTTACATTTTTGTGTCAGAAATTGTCCAGGGGGCATGCAACCCCCCCCCCCCTCCCCCCCACCCAGCAGGGTGTGCCTTTGGCAAGCCTTCACTCAACCCCCCCTCCCTTCATATCAACCCCCCCTTCATATCACCCCCCCCCCCTTTTTCCTGAAAGCTAGATCTGCCAGCTCTAATCGTGAAAATCATTGGCAAAATTACATGCTGCCAAACTAAATCTACATTTATCGTAAGTTGACAGTTTCAGTACATTAACAGTTTTGAGCACCCCCTTCCCAAAGTAAATGTCCATCATGCATCATAATGAACAATACAAAGCTCTAGTTTGAAGTTTTTCATTTTCGAATCATCATGTGCATGCATAAAATTTACATGTGTACATGATCATGGTACCTACATGTACATGTACATGAATTGCACATTGTATTGTAGCTGGCGTTAATATATTCCATGAACTAAACTTGCAATTTTGAGTTATAGTTTGTCTCATGTAAATATGGTTATTTGTTCAGCTACTATGAATGTATGTATTGTACACTAGCAGTTTCCGTTTCATGTTTACATTGTTTCAGGAAAAAGTTTGTCTATTCA